GTATCTGGAACATTTTTAATTGGATTTACATTATTTCTAATAGGAAATATTGCTTCAGTTTTCGTCAAATTCGGTTTTTGTCAGACTTCTTGGAACGAATTAATGACAAAAACCGAGGTTCCACTGTAATTAATTTTCTTTAATACTACTTATAGTAATGGGTTACATATAAACATAATAAAATACTGAATAAAAATTAATAATTAATAAGAGAAATAGTGCATTATGATAATATTAAATAAGTACATCAAGCACCTACAGAGGTAGGCTGGGGTTGACCACACCATCCACACAATAGTATCACACTTAACTTAAGCACTTACAGAGGTAGGCTGGGGTTGATCACACCATCCACACAATAGTATCACACTTAACTTAAGCACTTACAGAGGTAGGCTGGGGTTGATCACACCATCCACACAATAGTATCACACTTAACTTAAGCACTTACAGAGGTAGGCTGGGGTTGACCACACCATCCACACAATAGTATCACACTTAACTTAAGCACTTACAGAGGTAGGCTGGGGTTGACCACACCATCCACACAATAGTATCACACTTAACTTAAGCACTTACAGAGGTAGGCTGGGGTTGACCACACCATCCACACAACAGTATCACACTTAACTTAAGCACTTACAGAGGTAGGCTGGGGTTGACCAAAACCATCCCCCCCAATAGTATCACACTTAACTTAAGCACTTACAGAGGTAGGCTGGGGTTGACCACACCATCCCCACAATAGTATCACACTTAACTTTCACATGTAAATATTTTGAGTATGAGAGATGTAAGACAGAAAAGTAGGTGAAATGCAATGGGAATAAAACATGAGAAAAATGCATATTATCATTTAAGAGTATATGGTAAGGGTGCCAAAGTATTAGAGGATATCGGTTAAATTTGTTGGAGTAGGTATCATCTTAAAACTGAACATCGGTATCAGTGGTTATTTGCTAATTTTGATGGTATCGGTTTATGCTGATACTCAAAACACTGATTGAGCACTTGAATGTCAGCACCAGCAAAAATTCTGATACTGTCCCACCACCCATCACTAGTATATAATATACAGTTAATGATACTTAAACCAGGATGAGACCAAGCTTGTTTCAGTTTTTCCGAATCTTCAAGCACTGTAGAGGTAAAAGGATGATAAAGCTTTCTACAAACCAATAAAGCTATCTTAAGACTGAACTCTCAAACATTTTTGATACCATATTCTCTTTGGGAGCTTCCCAACCCTCAACAGGACGGTAACACACAGAAGCTTACCCAGCTAGTTAAAATGTCTTGGAATGCTAAAACTTCCCACCGAGAGGAGTTCCCAAAACAGTTGGCAAAATAATTTGCAGTCACATGAAAATACCAACTTGAGTGAGAAACAAAGGTACATAAGAATGAAGACTTCTCATTAACCCTTTCAGTGTCTGTGCCATTGTTCTATGGCTTTGAAACCAGTGTCTGTGCCACAGTACTATGCCATGAGCTCAGCTCACTCGATAAGCTGTGAGCAGTAAATTTGGGCCTAGATATGAGAGAATGCATCTATGAGGTAAGTGTGGACCACAGAAAAAAATCCTGCAGCTCACAGTGCATAATGAGAAAAAAAAAAAAAAGTTTATGGTGCATTGTTGTATGGTTTTTATGGTTGTATTCATGGTTTCTTGGTCTCATTTGACAGAATAGAAAATATACGTATTACAGAAATAAAGATGAATTTGATTGGTTTCAGGACTGAAAATAGTTTGAAAATGAGCTCAAAGTAGCGGAAATACAGTGGACCCCAGAGTTTCGTGATTAATCCGTTCCAGAGAGCCTGCCGAAAGTCGAAATTCACGAAACTCAAAACCATTTTCCCCATAAGAAATAATGGAAATAAAATTAATCCGTTCCAGACACCCAAAAATATTAAAATAAAATATTTTTTTTCAAATTAAATAAAAATTTACATACTGAAAACAATCAGAAATCAAGTACATGCATATAAAAAAATAATAACAACATTACACTTACCTTTACTGAAGACTTCTGGGTGGATGGAAAATGGGAGGAGGGGATAGGAGGAAGGTGTACACTATTGTTTGGAAGGAGAATCTCCTTCCATTAGGACTTCAGGTAGCAAGTCCTTTTCTTCTTTTAATGCCACTGGGAACAACTTGAGAGTCACTGGACCCCTGTCGCACAAAATATCTGTCCAGAGAGGTCTGTTTCTGGCATTTCTTTATGATTTGCCTGACAAGGTTTTGTCACTGAACATGTTGCAGATATGGCTTCTTTCAGCTTGGTCAGGGTGATACTTTTCAACAAAACTTTGCAACTCGTTCCACTTTGAACACATGTCCTTAATCACCGAAGAAGGCACCTCCTTCACTCTCTTTTCCTCCTCCTCTGATACAAGTTCCTCAGCTGTGGTCTGATGCTGTTCCAGTTGAAGCTCTTGCAGTTCGTCAGTGGTTAGCTCTTCCCTGTGGTCCTCCACCAACTCTTCCACATCCCCGTCACTCACCTCCAACCCCATGGACTTGCCCAATGCCACAACACCTTCCACAACAGGGAGAGGGTCGGCAGGGTCAGGGTCTGCCTCAAACCCTTCAAAATCCCTCTGGATCGTGTTCTTCGCTTTCTTTACCAAAGGGATTGCACTAGTTTTCCTTGGGCCCATGGTGGCTTATTTAGCAGTTGCAATCACAAAAAAATGGATTATTACGTATGAACCTGCGGGGTGACAGTCACGTGTTGGTAAACAATGGCACACTGAGCATGAATGGCGTGGGAGACTGGCTTTGTGTGCGTGGTGACGGGTGGATGGGTATCGGACGGTCGCCGAATCACGAGTCTAATCACAAAACTCGAGGCCAGATTTTGCCAAAAAAACTTGCCGAAAGTCAAACTTCACGAAAGTCGATGCTGCCGAAATTCGGGGGTCCACTGTATTCGATTTTTGCCGATATTCCAGGGTAATGAAATCGCGTCACTTGTTCAATGCATGTCTAACTGGTTGCTTTAATATGTATTCATAAATGCACTGACATTATTTATACAATTATTATAATAATGCATAACAGTGAATCTGTAGGTAGTAGGTTGGTAGACAGCAGCCGCACAGGGAGGTACTACCGTTCTGCCAAGTGAGTGTAAAACAAAAGCCTGTAATTGTTTTACATGATGGTAGGATTGCTGGTGTCCATTTTTCTGTCTCATAAACATGCAAGATTTCAGGTATGTCTTGCTACTTCTACTTACACTTAGGTCACACTACACATACATGTACAAGCATATATATACACCCCTCTGGGTTTTCTAATATTTTCTTACTAGTTCTTGTTCTTCTTGTTTATTTTCTCTTACCTCCATAGGGAAGTGGAACAGAATTCTTCCTCCGTAAGCCATGCGTGTTGTAGGAGGCAACTAAAATGCCGGGAGCAAGGGGCTAGTAACCTCTTCTCCTGTATATATTACTAAATGTAAAAGGAGAAACTTTCGTTTTTCCTTTTGGGCCACCCCGCCTCGGTGGGATACGGCCGGTGTGTTGAAAGAAAGATGTCTTGCTACTTCTACTTACACTTAGGTCACACTACACATACATATACAAGCATATATATACCCACCCCTCTGGGTTTTCTTCTATTTTCTTTCTAGTTCTTGTTCTTGTTTATTTCCACTTATCTCCATGGGGAAGTGGAACAGAATTCTTCCTCCGTAAGCCTTGTGTGTTGTAAGAGGCAACTAAAATGCCGGGAGCAAGGGACAAGTAACCCCTTCTCCTGTATAAATTACTAAATTTAAAAAGAGAAACTTTCATTTTTCTTTTTGGGCCACCCCGCCTTGGTGGGATACGACCGGTGTGTTGAAAAAAAAAAAATGCGCTGACATTATTTATACAATTATTATAATAATGCATAACAGTAAATCTGCAGGTAGTAGGTTGGTAGACAGCAACCGCCCAGGGAGGTACTACCGTCCTGCAAGTGAGTGTAAAACAAAAGCCTGTAATTGTTTTACATGATGGTAGGATTGCTGGTGTCCATTTTTCTGTCTCATAAACATGCAAGATTTCAGGTACGTCTTGCTACTTCTACTTACACTTAGGTCACACTAAACATACATATACAAGCATATATATACCCACCCCTCTGGGTTTTCTTCTATTTTCTTTCTTGTTCTTGTTCTTGTTTATTTCCTCTTTCTCCATGGGGAAGTGGAACAGAATTCTTCCTCCGTAAGCTATGCTTGTTGTAAGAGGCGACTAAAATGCCAGGAGCAAAGGGCTAGTAACCCCTTCTCCTGTATATATTACTAATTTAAAAGTAGAAACTTTTGTTTTTCCTTTTGGGCCACCCCATCTCAGTGGGATATGGCTGGTGCGTTGAAAGAAAGAACAATAAATCTTCTATTTTTTTTGTGTGAATAAAAATTCAAAATGGAATTCATGCATAAAGCCTGAGAACATAACTAATGAACAGAGGAAATGTTATTTTAGTGCCAGGAATGCCTGCACTGTTTATTCTGGACCCTATTTTGAAATGTGTGTAAAATTGGCCAAATTACCAATTTCTGATCACTTTATTGGGTAGTTGAAATAGTTGATTGGGTATTTCTTGTGCTCAGGCGATAAAATGGAAGACATACTAGAGAAATAGCTAAGAATCTGGTCAACTGGAAGAACGTAATATGCCTAAAATAGGACTCAAAGTGGGTAAAACTGCCAATGCGTAAATATCGTTAACACAGTAAAATTTGCGAAAGTATAATTTTGTCAACTTTCATCAAGTTTCATACTTATTGCTTTATTACCTTCAGAAAAATATTCTCTACCATTTCATAAGAAAAAACAACAAAAAAATTTTAATGGTGAGATCAAGGTCAAAGAATGAATTTACCAAGTCATTCTCTAAGTAAGAAAGAGGTCTCCAAAGGAAAAACATGAGATATAAAAGACAAAGAAATCAATGAAGTACACTAATACAAAAACACGAATAAAAGAAAACAGTTACCCTAGTGATATTCTAGCCTGAATTTCCTTTTCTCTGTCGAGGAGATTCTTGCGCTGTGTGTCACACTCCAAGACACTCTCTAAAGCTATGGTGTCGTCCCCAATTACTTCTTGTTCCACATATAATATGGATATGTGGCTTGGAATACGAAGTACTCGGCTGAAATATATAAAATTACAGTTAAAAAACTACAGGTATTGTGTACAGTACACACAAGAGAATAACTACAAAGAACTGAGCTTAACATTTTTTACTTTATTTTATTTCAGTTTTTTGCCATACAAAGGAGAATAATCAAAATGCAGAAATTTTGCAAAAAAAACTGTATTACTGTATAGCTCAAAATATCTACTAATAGTCTTCTTCATTATACAAATAATATTGTAATAGTATATTACAAAACAAAGTAGGCATTCTGAAAAATGTCAAGATGAGCAAAATTACTAACTAATTTTGACAAAAATTTCTGCATTATACAGTTAATGAATTACAGTATATACACTATAATATAATTCTGATAGAACAATATTTTGGATGTTATATTTTCAGAACTAAGTATTCTCATAATCACTGATATAATAGTAGTAAATAAATCATGGGACAAGTGAGACTGAAACCCACCCTGAGTCACAATACTAATAACATGGTTGGATGCCAATGCTGGAGATCCAGATACACATGCATTGAAAAAACTAAGTCAATGATTTTCTGTATTTTAATTTCTTTAAAGAAAAGTATTTTTTTTTTTCAGAACTTTAAAAGAAGGTGGGAAAAAAAGGAGGTCCTGGTCATGATCACAAGCAAGAAAATATTTGTGTATACAGTACAATGTCAAATTACTGAATGTAAAAAGATAATAAACTCTGTAGTTTTTTCTTTTTTGGGTCGCCCTGCATCGGTGGGAAATGGCCAGTAGGTTGAAAAAAAAAAAAAAACAAGTACCGTACAATGTTCAATAAAATACCAACCTGGCTAGCATTCTTAACAATGTAGTTTTTCCAAGTCCATTTCTTCCCACTAAAGCATATCTTCTTCCAAAAGCTAGAGAGATTGTAGCATTTTGAATCAGAATCCTGCAAAAGGAAAGGAAATTGTAAACTGAGAAATCTTTTAGAGAATCATTTACAGTACTTTCTTCTTTTCCATGAAAATAAGCTGAACACTGTGTATCACTTATCACATTACAGTGGAACCTCTACTTTTGAGTGCATCCACATGCGAGTTTTTCCAGATACGAGCAGTCACTCGGTTGATTTTTTTGCTTCCACACGTGAACGAAATTTCCAGATGCGGGCGGGCCTCAAGGGAGGTTCCTTGACGCTGGGGAATTGAATCTCAGTTGTTTGTTGGACTATCTTATTGAAACTTGGGCAATGTATGATGGAAAGATGTTTCTTAACGTACACCAAAATTGAAAGAAATCGCACTATAAATAAAGGAGTACACTTCTCAGCCATTAGCCGCCCTTAGTGGTATATTTTCAAGGGTTTTTTGTGGTTTTCTTGGTCACAAATGATAGAATAGAAGATATATTACAGAAACTGATATGATTTTGATTGCTTTCACAATAAAAAGTACTTTGAAATTGAGCTCAAAGTAGTGGAAATGTTTGATTCTTTGGCGATGAAGGGTACTGAAGGGTGGGAGCCTGGCACCCACCCTTCAATACCTCTCTATATAATGTCAGTTTTTATTAATTTGAGCATCTTTATCATACTTCTACATTGTTTATGTTATACCTAATATTATTCTGGAATAAATATGACAGTTAGATAACCTTTATCGATAGTAAATAATTATATAATGTTTTATAGTATCATGAACTCATACCTCCACACGCCATGGAGGAACTATGAGTTACTGAGACTGCTCGCGCCTTCTCCCTATTTTCGTAAAGCTCTGCTCACTGGGCGGAGCTACCACCAGCAACCACCTCCACTACTACCACCAACAACCACCTCCACTACTACCACCAGCAACCACCTCCACTATTACCACCAGCAACCACCTCCACTACTACCACCAACAACCACCTCCACTACTACCACCAACAACCACCTCCACTATTACCACCAGCAACCACCTCCACTACTACCACCACTTGTCACATGACAAGTGGTTATTTTCATTGTTTATGTTATATTAGATGAATTGTAACAGATAAATAAGCAGCAGAGTTGATATTAGGGAAATTATTGAATTACAGAATTCCACTGAAACAGATTAATTCCATATCAATTAATATAAATGAGGAAAACTGACTCTGCAAATGAGCAAATCCAGATCCTAGCAATGTCAGAGAATGGATTAAACTCGCAAGTAGAGGTTCCACTGTACAGTGGACCCCCGCATAACGATCACCCCCCAATGCGACCAATTATGTAAGTGCGTTTGTACGTGTATGTTTGGGGGTCTGAAATGGACTAATCTACTTCACAATATTCCTTATGGGAACAAATTCAGTCAGTACTGGCACCTGAACATACTTCTGGAATGAAAAAATATCGTTAACCGGGGGTCCACTGTACTTGCTAATGTCAAAAAACATGACTATAAGAGGGTAAAAATTCATAAAATGAGTTACTTAAGATAGTGCTGGGTGCACAGCCTACAAACTGGGAGGGAAAGTGCAGTTCTCAGAACACACACTTAACCCTTTGACTGTTTTGGTTGTAGATATACGTACGTCTTACGCACCACTGTTTCAGACGTATTTATGTGTAAATTCTAGCGGCTTCAAATCAAGCAGGAGAAAGCTGGTAGGCCCACATGTGAAAGAATGGGTGTGTGTGGCCAGTGTGCACCACATAAAAAAATTCTGCAGCACACAGTGTGATAATGAAAAAAAAAAACTGACCGTTTTTTTGGATTAAAATGCCGACTTTGAGGTGTATTTTCGCATAGTATTTATCATTGTATTCTCGTTTTCATGGTCTCATGTGATAAAATGGAAAGCATATTACAGAAATAGAGATGAGTTTGATTAGTTTCACGATGAAAACGACCTTGAAATTGAGCTCAAAGTAGCGGAAATGTTTGATTTTTACCAATGTTCAGGAGTAAGTAAATCACACCACACGTCCAATACACGTCAACTGGGGAGTCTAATATTCTTTCACTAGTGCACTGATATTATTTATACCATTTTTACAATGATGCAGTAGTCTGCATAACAGTAAATTTTGTATTTTTTGTATGAATAAAAAATCAAAATAGAAAGCAATAGTAATATAAAAAGGGCCTAGAGATCGTGACTAATGAACAGAGGATATGTTATTTTAGTGCCAAGAATATCTACAATGTTTATTCTGGACCCTATTTTGAAATTGCCATCTTTTTTAATTTGCATGAAATTGGCCAAATTGCCAATTTCTGGCCACTTTATTGGGTAGTTCAAATCAGTAAATGGGCAGTTTCTTGTACTCAACTGATAGAAAAGCTGGAGTTCTAAAGAAATAGCTATGAGTTTGGTCAATTGGAACAACAGAATTGGCCAAAAACAGGGCTCAAAGTCGGCAAAATCGCCGATGCGTATATGTCGACCGCTAACTTCGCGGGAGCGTAATTCCACGAGTTTTCAACCAAATTTCGTACTTTTGGTGTCACTACCATGGGGAAAAGATTCTCTATCATTTCATGAGAAATTTTTTTCTTTTTTTTTTTTCAAAAAATTTTGTGACATAGAATGACAGTTTCAGAAAGGGGCTTGCGACAGTCAAAGGGTTAATACATATTGCTTTTCCATCATTTTCCTTCACTTCAATGTACTCTATTTTCCTTTTAAACTCTCCAATAAAATTAACTTTAAAGCCACCTAACCAGACCTCAAGAGGATGCATCAATGTATCTAAATTAAATAACACTGGTATAATGAAGGTAAACACTGCATGAGCCCAAGATAAAAATTATGTTCCTAGAAAGTGCTAAACACGTATGTGTCATTCAGTACTACAAGGTAGAGGTGAGGGAGATGGTAGAGAAGAGAAGTGGAGGTGCTAAGAGAGGACATCAGCAGAAAGGAGAGAAAGAGGTAACAGTTGATACAGCAAATCAATGCTAGTCAAGAAAACACGAGTCCAGAAGTACTAGTGAAGCACTGGCTTATTTTTATCAGTATTTTCCCTCTTGTATGCTAAATGCCTTGCTTCAGTCTTAAGGAATGTATTAATATGATAAGTAGCAGACTTTTTGTTCCAAATAATACATGTGTAGAGGCATATGAATTACAGAAAATTCTGAATATAAAAATTGTACCCCTTTATTGTTTAAATAAAATTCTAAGGTAAGCATCATTCCTGTAGCATGATGTTTGTGCCTTTCTGAATGTATAACTGATGGTGAATAGTTTTTCTTCTCTAGGTCAACATGACTAGGTGGGAAATAGCCAAACATATTTTAAAAGAAAATGCTCAATATTTTAATGAATAATGTAATAAACTTGAATCTGGTTTAATTTTTTGTATAAAAGGTCAAGTTCATATAGAAAGAGGCTGTAAACCTACATTTTTAGTGTAATGTACACACTACATATATATACTACAGCACATACCAGACAAAATATCAAAATAGCTCATTTAAAAACAGTAATCTATACTCAACATACTTATCACCAAAAGCTACATCAAAGCTTTCTATTCTGATGTCCTTTGTGTTGCAACCACCTTTGGCATCTAATACTCTGTCTTTTTTGCTCACTACCTGAAATAAAATTTAAAGTCATGCTGGAGAGTAAGACAAGGTATATAATAATAAAAGTACTGTAATGCCAAGTGTATGTCACCGAGGTCCCTTGAACAATTTTACTACAGCAATAATATAAGTTGACAACTAACCTGGGATGCTGTGGCCATGTCCATTATTATAGCTGGTAAAACATCTTTCTTATCCGTATTTATTCTTTTCTCCTTCTTTTCCTTTAGTTTTGCTTCTGCTTTGTCAAGTTTCCTTTGGTCTACTTTCTGAGGAATAAACATAAGATATGTTGAGCATAAATGAGTTGGGACTATGTTGCCTAATGCTTCTGTGCATTCCAAAGGCTATATATGATGCCTCTGTGTTATACACACATTATAAAATTAACAATTTCTCACTAAGACAGTGACTCAAAGAATGAAATGCATTCACCATCATTTATTCTATAGCTGTTTTGCTATAGACATGGACATTACAATTCAAATAACCCTCCAAACTGTATCATCCCCATCCATTCTTCACAAAGCATACACAGTACTTCTCACCTCCAGACTCAAGTCTGGCTAATTCACAGATGGACTAAAAAAATTATATTCAGATATCAATATCAATTTAAATTCTGAACAAAGCCATTTCAGTCCTTACAAGTCCATCATCTCTTTCCCTGGTCCAGACAGACTTGATTGCTTCTTCTTCCAATTCCATGCTGGCTGCCATCTCTGCTAACTGCACAGGTGCATCAAGGATCTTTTGCTCTATGGCTCCATTGGGAGTTATGAGTTTTTTCATCACATCCTCACACAACTTCCTGCATTCACATAAGCATAAAAACATTAGTAAAAACTACAGAGTAGAAGTTAAAAAGTGCACCAAATGAATGATTTCTGACAAAATCCACCTATGTGCATTATGAACAGAAACATAAACCTATGTTTTGGTTGTGTATGAAGACATAATAAAGCTGCTCCTCGACTTATGATGTTCTACTTCATGACTTTGGCACTTTGGAACTATGTACTGTGATTTTTTAATAATTTCTCCTCAAATATCACACTAAACTGATTCATAATGACACCCATATGAAAGAATAACCAGAAAGAAAACAGATTTAGGCATGAGGAAATAAAGCATATTTTGAACAAATTCACATGGTTGGTTTTCAATTTAGGTGTCCTAAGCCAGGTCACAAGAAAATAGGCACCTAGCCAGACTAAGATGAGTTGCACAGACATAACTGGGACTAGTGGTAGAGGGAGGGAAGAAGAGAGAATTAGGGAGATATGTATTCATAGGATGAATTTATTTTTTAACAATGTCTTTAAATAACAATGTTAACTGGCTTTTAATGACATTCATAAGATCATAGATCTAAACTTACTCCCTGTTCAGTACATCCACACTTACTACTGTGCAATCTACATCTACAGGACCTTAAATTCCAATATTAACCTTGAACTAAAATGCTTTCTTGATAGTTGTGACAGAACCCACAGGCATAACACCAGACACAAACATCTCTATGACATTCCCCGTGTCTGACTAAGCCTTTACAAAAATTCAATGCATGTCAAAGGCCCTAAAATCTGGAACACCCTACCTGAAAATTCTAGAACTGCAGACACATTCATCACCTTCAAAACTATCGTTAGACAACATCTTATCTCCCTGATACACCCTGTTAACTAACTACATGAAAACCACCTGGTGGTTCACACTTACACTCACTCACTCACCCATTTGACTATAAACACAGAAATACGAATCTTAATCTTAAAATAATGAATCCTAACTAGTCATAAGTTTGCCTGTGATACTCCAATATAGAAACTATGTAAGGTGCCAAAACAAAAGCATTCACATTGCTAAACTCACAAAGTATAATTTAGTCACTTAGCCATAATACCAACTTACTCCATAATTTGTAATAATTTAGAGTTAAGAATTATTCTAAGTCTGCCTGAAATGCCTAGCCATGCTAGGTGTCCTAGTGGTCCCCTCTGTAATTAGTATTTTATAACATGTAAACCACACAATATCCAAAATCTGTAAACCCCGCATTGTAATTCTTATAGAGAATAAACTTGATTGATTGATTGATAAAAGAAAGAAAATAGATTTGATTTTAGGAAATTCAATGAATATATTTTGAATGACTTCCCATGTTTGGTTTTCAATTGAAGGGCCTTAAACTAAGTCAAAGTAAATGGACACCCAGCCAGACAAGTGTGACTAAATATTTGATCCTTTCCCTTCGACTGTTACATGTGTCATACTAATTGTAGGTGAGAGAGAATAGCACTTAGTATGAAAGAGTGGATAAATATTGGGAGGCATTGATGTGTAGTGGATAGTGACACCAGTTGGTGAGGCCAAAGGGGATAGGCAGCTTACAACACTACTGTCTGCATATTAGACATGACAGTATATGAGGGGCATGACAGTGGGAGCTTGCCTCCCCCTCCCCAACAGTCCAGCTGACTGCATTACACACCTACAGACAGCATTATAGTTCTTTTCAGCATAATTAACATGTATATGTTAGTTAAACAATGTTTAATACTGTACTACTTTCTGTATTTATATGTAATAGATGCATTGAATGTTCAACACATTTCCATTGACCCTTTAATAAATATAATATGTAAAAGAAAGCAATGTAGACTGATTTAATTAAGAGAATAAAGATTATCAACTGCTTTACCAATTTCATTTAAAAAAAATTTTTATTTTTTTTTATTATCACACTGGCCGATTCCCACCAAGGCAGGGTGGCCCGAAAAAGAAAAACTTTCACCATCATTCACTCCATCACTGTCTTGCCAGAAGGGTGCTTTACACTACAGTTTTTAAACTGCGACATTAACACCCCTCCTTCAGAGTGCAGACATTGTACTTCCCATCTCCAGGACTCAAGTCCGGCCTGCCGGTTTCCCTGAATCCCTTCATAAATGTTACTTTGCTCACACTCCAACAGCACGTCAAGTATTAAAAACCATTTGTCTCCATTCACTCCTATCAAACACGCTCACGCATGCCTGCTGGATTATATACATATAATAAACAGATAAATAAAGATAAAAAATTTGGCATACCTTATTTCAGCATCCTTCTCTATTCCAACAGCATCTGCCAAGAGACTGCCAATAGCTTCATAAACATCATCACTGCTTTCAAAATCCTCAGTACTTGTAAGAACACCTATGATGAAAAAATAAACATGTTAAGTACAATATCAAAGGAGATGAACGAACTACACACACTTCACTTAAATACTATACTGTTCTAAGTCATATCTTATTACTGTAAGTTTATTTAGGTACAGGTTCAAATAAGTACAATTATTATACATAGTTTAATATATGTGTAAATTACCTATAATAACCCCAAAAAAGTCAAAGTGATTTATATCCACTGGGGTCCTTGTAATTATATTATTCTTCAATCATGTTAGTCTAAATATATGCAGATGGTGGCCCATGGCCTGGTGGCAAAACTCTCGCTTCACACGCTGAGGGTCCAGGTTTGATTCCCGGCGAGGGTGAAAACATTTGGTGTGTTTCCTTACACGGCTGAAGATCCTGGATCTGTATTCCCTCGAACGCAGGCGAGAGAGATATGTGATAATATACACTTGGAAGGTCCTGGAGGGATTGGTACCAAACCATGCACATGAAAATCACTCACTATGAAGGCAAAACTCAGCAGGAGATGCAACATTCCCCTGATGAAAAGCAGGGGCGCCACGAGTACACCGAGAGACAACACAATAAGTGTCGGGGGCCCAAGACTGTTCAATTGCCTCCCAGCATACATAAGGGGGATTACCAACAGACCCCTGGTTGTCTTCAAGAAGGCACTGGACAGGCGCCTAAAGTCAGTACCTGACCAACCAGGCTGTGGTTTGTACGTCAGCTTGCGTGCAGCCAGCAGTAACAGCCTGGTTGATCAGACCCTGATCCACCATGAGGCCTAGTCTTAGACTGGTGTGATGTAGTTCAGCTGGCCTTGTGAGGTCTCTGGAGAGACCTAATTTTATGGTCACACCTGGCCTTGGCAAATGGCTATTAGCCACGCCTTTTCGGCTTAAATCTCAGCTCCTTCGTTCGTCACTGGCGTCAGATCTCGGCATCAGGTCGTAACACGTGGTGCACACCCCATTGTGGAGGGTGCTTGGACCACAATATAAGCCCAAGGAAGAGCATGATCGGGAGACTTTGAGCAGAGCTGCTGCTGTGTGCAGAGCTCTGAGCAGGGAGACTTCGAGCGGAGCTGCTACTGTGTGCAGAGCTCTGAGCAGGAGATTCGAGAGAAGCTGCTGCTGGGGTGCAGGGCTCCGGAGAAGGCTGCTGAAGTCTCTGGAGGAGACTGTTGGAGACATTGGGCAGAGTACTGGCTTGGAGCAGTACTCGGCTGTGTAGGTCTTGGGACCTGTGGCTTAGTTCCTGTGGTGAACTGTCCTCTGAACTATATTGTAAGTTATATTCATTTTCGTCAAGTTGATTGTATTCCCTGTCTCACTGCTTATATATACCACCCCATTTATCTATACACAATAATGTACTCCTTTTCCCAAATATATTATTGTACAAAGACTTAATAATAAACGGTGTTTGAGTAGAATAGTAATATTCACTGTCCCCGTTATTGTTTTCTATTTCTTATATTTTATTATGTTTATATGTGAGTGAAGAGTGGGCGAGTCATATGGTAGTGAGTAGTGTAGAGTTAATGAGAGTGTCGTGGTGGTCACCACTGACCTGTCATACCTACCTACTTGCCTCCTTCCTGCTTACTTCTGTCTCCCTCCTACCTACTCCCTCCCGATTACTCCCCTTTACTCACATATTCTCCAATTATCCTTTTCATTCCAATACCCCCCTACATGATGACACTGAGCCATGGGGGTGTTGGCCGTGGGGGCGTTGACCCCCGGAACTCTCTCCAGGTAAACAGAAACCCTCTCCAGGTAAACTCCAGGTAAAACACCGGTTGTCTATGTTCACCCATCAGTAAAACGGGTACCTGGGTGTTAGTCGACTGGTGTGGGTCACATCCCTGGACAAAACTGACCTAATCTGCTGAAAATGCTCTGCATAACAAGCAGCTTTCTGTATAGTAGTATGTCACTGATGTTAGCTAGGCCTGTATATCTTGTACATGTACTTGTAGAAATAAAGATATACGTATTATAATTATTATTATTCTGCTTATACAGCAGGTTAGGTTCTGGGCTACTGCTGTAAATTGACAGTCTTTTTCATTTTCAAATGTATATATCCACTCATGTATCTACCCATGTATCCACTCATATATCCACTCATGTATCTACCCATGTATCCACTCATGTTCCTGAACCTGCACTCCCTGAAACGCAGGCGGGAGAGCTACATGATTATATACACCTGAAAAAACCTAGAGGGACTAGTACCTAACTTGCACAGGAAAATCACTCACTATGAAAGCAAATGACTCGGCAGACGATGCAACATCCCCCCAATGAAAAGCAGGGGTGTCACTAGCACGTTAAGAGACAACACAATAAGTGTCAGGGGCCCAAGACTGTTCAACTGCCTCCCAGCATACATAAGGGGGATTACCAATAGACCCCTGGCTGTCTTCAAGCAGGCACTGGACAAGCACCTAAGGTCGGTACCTGACCAGCCGGGCTGTGGCTCATACTTTGGACTGCGTGCAGCCAGCAGTAACAGCCTGGTTGATCAGGCTCTGATCCACCATGAGGCCTGGTCAAAGACTGGACCGTGGGGGCTTTGACCCCTGGAACTCTCTCCAGGTCTCCAGGTAAACTCATGTAACTACCCTTGTATCTACTCATGTATCTACCCATGTATCCACTCATATTTACCCATGTATCTACTCATGTATCTACCCATGTATCCACTCATGTATCTACCCATGTATCCACTCATATTTACCCATGTATCCACTCATGCATCTACTCGTGTATCCACTCGTATTTACCCATGTATCTACTCATGTATATACCCATGTATCCACTCATATTTACCCATGTATCCACTCATGTATCTACCCATGTATCCACTCATGTATCTACTCATGTATCCACTCATATTTACCCATGTATCTACCCATGTAGGGAGACACTGGTCAGAGAAATAGCAAGCATCGAACTTAAGCTAAAGGAATCTTATAGGAGTCAGGAATCGCGGGAAGAACTAAAAGCCATAAATGAAATTGAAAGAAACCCAAAGTATTTCTTCTCCTATGCCAAATCAAAGTCGAGAACAACATCCAGTATTGGGCCCCTACTTAAACAAGATGGGTCCTACACAGATGACAGCAAGGAAATGAGTGAGCTACTCTAGTCCCAATATGACTCAGTTTTTAGCAAGCCGCTAAACAGACTGAGAGTCGAAGATCAAAATGAATTTTTTATGAGAGAGCCACAGAATTTGGTTAACACAAGCCTATCCGATGTTATCCTGATGCCAAATGACTTCGAACAGGCGATAAATGACATACCCATGCACTCTGCCCCAGGGCCAGATTCATGGAACTCCGTGTTCATCAAGAACTGCAAGAAGCCCCTATCACGAGCCTTTTCCATCCTATGGAGAGGGAGCATGGACACAGGGGTCGTCCCACAGTTACTAAAAACAACAGACATAGCCCCACTCCACAAAGGGGGCAGTAAAGCAACAGCAAAGAACTACAGACCGATAGCACTAACATCCCATATCATAAAAATCTTTGAAAGGGTCCTAAGAAGCAAGATCACCACCCATCTAGAAACCCATCAGTTACACAACCCAGGGCAACATGGGTTTAGAACAGGTCGCTCCTGTCTGTCTCAACTATTGGATCACTATGACAAGGTCCTAGATGCACTAGAAGACAAAAAGAATGCAGATGTAATATATACAGACTTTGCAAAAGCCTTCGACAAGTGTGACCATGGCGTAATAGCGCACAAAATGCGTGCTAAAGGAATAACAGGAAAAGTCGGTCGATGGATCTATAATTTCCTCACTAACAGAACACAGAGTAATCGTCAACAGAGTAAAGTCCGAGGCAGCTATGGTGAAAAGCTCTGATCCACAAGGCACAGTACTCGCTCCCATCTTGTTCCTCATCCTCATATCCGACATAGACAAGGATGACAGCCACAGCACCGTGTCTTCCTTTGCAGATGACACCCGAATCTGCATGACAGTGTCCTCCATTGCAGACACTGCAAGGCTCTAGGCTGACATCAACCAAATCTTTCAGTGGGCTGCAGAAAACAATATGAAGTTCAACGATGAGAAATTTTAATTACTCAGATATGGTAAACACGAGGAAATTAAATCTTCATCAGAGTACAAAACAAATTCTGGCCACAAAATAGAGTGAAACACCAACGTCAAAGACCTGGGAGTGATCATGTTGGAGGATCTCACCTTCAAGGACCATAACATTGTATCAATCGCATCTGCTAGAAAAATGACAGGATGGATAATGAGAACCTTCAAAACTAGGGAGGCCAAGCCCATGATGACACTCTTCAGGTCACTTGTTCTATCTAGGCTGGAATATTGCTGCACACTAACAGCACCTTTCAAGGCAGGTGAAATTGCTGACCTAGAAAATGTACAGAGAACCTTCACGGCGCGCATAACGGAGATAAAACACCTCAATTACTGGGAGCGCTTGAGGTTCCTAAACCTGTATTCCCTGGAACACAAACGGGAGAGATACATGATTATATACACCTGGAAAATCCTAGAGGGACTAGTACTGAACTTGCACACGAAAATCACTCACTACGAAAGCAAAAGACTTGGCAGATGATGCAACATCCCCGCAATGAAAAGCAGGGGTGTCACTAGCACGTTAAGAGACCATACAATAAGTGTCAGGGGTCCGAGACTGTTCAACTGCCTCCCAGCATACATAAGGGGGATTACCAACAGACCCCTGGCTGTCTTCAAGCAGGCACTGGACAAGCACCTAAAGTCGGTTCCTGACCAGCCGGGCTGTGGCTCGTACGTTGGTTTGCGTGCAGCCAGCAGTAACAGCCTGGTTGATCAGGCTCTGATCCACCAGGAAGCCTGGTCACAGACCGGGCCACGGGGGCGTTGACCCCCGGAACTCTCTCCAGGTAAACTCCAGGTAATCATATTTACCCATGTATCTACCCATGTATCCACTCATATTTACCCATATATCTACTCATGTATCTACCCATGTATCCACTCATATTTACCCATATATCTACTCATGTATCTACCCATGTACCCACTCATATTTACCCATGTATCTACCCATGTATCCACTCATATTTACCCATATATCTACTCATGTATCTACCCATGTACCCACTCATATTTACCCATGTATCTACTCATGTATATACCCATGTATCCACTCATATTTACCCATGTATCTACCCATTTATCCACTCATGTATCTACTCATGTATCCACTCACGTATCTACCCATGTATCTACCCATTTATCCACTCATGTATCTACTCATGTATCCACTCACGTATCTACCCATGTATCTACCCATTTATCCACTCATATATTTACCCATGTATCCACTCATATTTACCCATGTATCTACTCATTTATCCACTCATGTATCCACTCGCATATTTCCCCATGTGTCTACATTATGTGAAGGAAATAACTCATCATTATCATCACATAAGACACATAATCCACTTAAAATACTGTGGAAAAAGACACTTGTGTACAGTTCAAAACATTTATTAGAAGAACAGTATAGCCAGGAGTGAATATCTTCTTCAGTCCTAATAGAGGGAGAACTTAAGTTATCTATTAGCCACTCGTGGCTAAATGTTTCCTCTAATAAATGTTCTCAACTGTACATAAGTGTCTATTTCCACATTGTATTGGTATCACCATACCATTTCCCATTTTAAAATACTGGTACTTTAGCAAGTATCAGGAAGAAACTTAGTCGAGAAATACTGTCAAATCAAGGGTCCCCTGGAGGTGAGGTAGGGTCAGCAGGGGAGGTCAAGTCTGGGGCAGCCTCAGGAGGTGCCCAGGTCACACTCACCCTCGACATATTGAAAGATTTCCTCATCTATGTCGGGAAATTTCTCCCTAACCAGCTGACTTGGGACTGCCATGTTTACACTGCCGGGAGAGCCTCATCTGCCACAGTTTGTGACCCCTTCATTCCCACTCTCTTAACACAAATTAATTCAAAATGCTACTCTGTAACTCAAACAATTCCTCCGTAGAAATGAGGATATCTGTGGGATGTATTATTTACTTTCCAGCTGGAAGGATATAGATGGATGTTGAGTAAGAATTAACGTGCACGAGTTACTCATTGGCCACAGATTGTGAGTCTTCAGTGTTGACTTCAGAAAATTAAGACACATGTGTAATACTGGAAATTTTACCTGCACAATATTTTACCTGCACAATATTTTACCTGTACAACATTGTACCTGTACAACAAGATTTATCATTCCAATTCAGAAGAATGAGGACAGATTTTTATACTTGAGCCAGTGGAATTGTCATTATTATATAAGGGGGAAGTGCTGAACCTGTCAGTAAGTTTATTTAAGTACAGGTTCACATAAGTACAATTATCAAACATAGTTAAACATATGTGTACAATACCTAGGATAACCCAAAAAAGTCAGTGACTTGTTTCCACTGGTATCCTTGATTTCTATGGGAATCCTTGATTTCCATGGGAATCCTTGATTTCCATGGGAATCCTTGATTTCCATGGGGATTATTGATTACCATGGGGGGTCCTTGATTACCATAGGGATCCTTGATTACCATGGGGGATCCTTGATTACCATGGGGTCATTGATTTTCACTGGGGTCATTGATTTTCACTGGGGTCATTGATTTTCACTGGGGTCATTGATTTTCACTGGGGTCCTTGATTTCCATTTGGTCCTTCATTTCCTTTGGGGTTCTTCATTTCTATTGGGATTCTTTATTTCTACTGGAGTCTGTAGGGGTCATACAGTGCCTGGGGAATGGGAGGTAGTTGGGTTTGACAACACTCTAATTACCAGAAATAATGGGGGAAAATTCCTAGGCTTATACCTTGACAACAACCTGAATTTCAGCACCCATATCCAGCATATAGCCAAAAAAGTATCCAAAACGGTTGGGATCCTCTCCAAGATACGATACTACGTGCCGCAAAATGCCCTTCTCACACTATACCACTCACTTATTTATCCATACCTCACCTATGCTATTTGTGCTTGGGGATCAACTGGAGCAACACACCTAAAGCCAATAATAACCCAACAAAAAGCTGCAGTAAGAATAATCACTAAATCCCATCCCTGGCAGCACACCCCCCCACTCTTCAAAGATCTAAACTTACTCCCAGTTCAGTACATCCACACTTACTACTGTGCAATCTATATCTACAGGGCCTTAAACTCTAATATCAACCTTGACCTAAAACGCTTTCTTGATAGTTGTGACAGAACCCACAGGCATAACACCAGACACAAACATCTCTACGACATTCCCCGTGTCCGACTAAACCTTTACAAAAATTCAATGTATGTCAAAGGCCCTAAAATCTGGAATACCCTACCTGAGAACTCTAGAACTGCAGACACATTCATCACCTTCAAAACTACCATTAGAAAACATCTTATCTCCCTGATACACCCCGTCAACTAACTACACGAATACCACCTGGTGGTTCACACTTACACTCGCTCACTCATTTGACCATAAACAGAAATATTAATCTCAGTCTTAAAATAATGAATCCTGTGATACTCCAATACTGAAACTATATACTGTGCCAAAACAAAAGCATTCACATTGCTAAACTCATAAACTAGTATTTAGTCACTTAGCCATAATACCAACTTACCTCATAATTTGTAATATTTTACAATTAAGAATAAAACTAAGTATGCCCGAAATGCCTAGCCATGCTAAGCGTTCTAGTGGTACACTCTGTAATCACAATTTTACTACATGTAAACCAAACAATAACCAAATTTCTGTAAACTCAGCATTGTAATCCTTATAGAGAATAAAACTTTGAATCTCTGCTTGACTCAGCAGTAGTATAACAGGTTATCTCCCTGCTTGACTCAGCAGTAATATAACAGGTTATCTCCATGCTTGACTCAGCAGTAATATAACAGGTTATCTCCCTGTTTGACTCAGCAGTAATATAACAGGTTATCTCCCTGCTTGACTCAGCAGTAATATAGCAGGTTATCTCCCTGCTTGACTCAGCAGTAGTATAACATGTTATCTCCCTGCTTGACTCAGCAGTAGTATAACATGTTATCTCCCTGCTTGACTCAGCAGTAATATAACAGGTTATCTCCCTGCTTGACTCAGCAGTAATATAACAGGTTATCTCCCTGCTTGACTCAGCAGTAATATAACAGGTTATCTCCCTGCTTGACTGAGCAGTAGTATAACAGGTTATCTCCCTGCTTGACTCAGCAGTAATATAACAGGTTATCTCTCTGCTTGACTCAGCAATAGTATAACAGGTTATCTCCCTGCTTGACTCAGCAGTAATATAACAGGTTATCTCCCTGCTTGACTCAGCAGTAAGAGAGGCATATATAGGCAAATCAAAAGAGGAGAGGCGCAATTAAGAAATCGATATATTCAGTTAAAGAGAGAAATAAAAAAGGGAATTAGAAAAGCAAAAAGAGATTATGAGGTTAAAGTTGCAAAAGAATCGAAGACTAACCCAAAAGGATTCTTTCAGGTATACAGAAGTAAGATCAGGGACAAGATAGGCCCACTCAAAAGTTCCTCGGGTCAGCTCACTGACAGTGATAAGGAAATGTGTAGAATTTTTAACACATACTTCCTCTCAGTTTTTACACAGGAGGATACCAGCGATATTCCAGTAATGATAAATTATGTAGAACAGGACGATAATAAACTGTGCACTATTAGGGTCACAAGTGACATGGTCCTTAGGCAAATAGATAAATTAAAACCTAACAAATCCCAGGCCCTGATGAACTGTATGCAAGGGTTCTAAAGGAATGTAAAGAGGAGCTTAGCACACCTTTGGCTAATCTTTTCAACATATCACTACAAACTGGCATGGTGCCAGATAAGTGGAAAATGGCAAATGTGATACCTATTTTCAAAACAGGTGACAGGTCCTTAGCTTCGAACTATAGACCAATAAGCCTAACCTCCATAGTGGGAAAATTTATGGAATCAATAATTGCCGAGGCAGTTCGTAGCCATCTTGAAAAGCATAAATTAATCAACGAATCTCAGCATGGTTTTACAAAGGGGCGTTCCTGCCTTACGAATTTATTAACTTTTTTCACTAAGGTATTTGAGGAGGTAGATCATGGTAATGAATATGATATTGTGTATATGGACTTCAGTAAGGCTTTTGACAGGGTCCCACATCAGAGACTATTGAGGAAAATTAAAGCACATGGAATAGGAGGAGAAATTTTTTCCTGGATAGAGGCATGGTTGACAAATAGGCAGCAGAGAGTTTGCATAAATGGGGAGAAATCAGAGTGGGGAAGCGTCACGAGCGGTGTTCCACAGGGTCAGTGTTGGGCCCCCTGCTGTTCACAATCTACATAAACGACATAGATGAGGGCATAAAGAGCGACATCGGCAAGTTTGCCGATGACACCAAAATAGGCCGTCGAATTCATTCTGACGAGGACATTCGAGCACTCCAGGAAGATTTGAATAGACTGATGCAGTGGTCGGAGAAGTGGCAGATGCAGTTTAATATAGACAAATGCAAAGTTCTAAATGTTGGACAGGACAATAACCATGCCACATATAAACTAAATAATGTAGATCTTAATATTACGGATTGCGAAAAAGATTTAGGAGTTCTGGTTAGCAGTAATCTGAAACCAAGACAACAGTGCATAAGTGTTCGCAATAAAGCTAATAGAATCCTTGGCTTCATATCAAGAAGCATAAATAATAGGAGTCCTCAGGTTGTTCTTCAACTCTATACATCCTTGGTTAGGCCTCATTTAGATTATGCTGCACAGTTTTGGTCACCGTATTACAGAATGGATATAAATTCTCTGGAAAATGTACAAAGGAGGATGACAAAGATGATCCCATGTATCAAAAAACCTTCCCTATGAGGATAGACTAAGGGCCCTGAAACGCACTCTCTAGAAAGACTTTGAAATTAGGGGGGATATGATTGAGGTGTATAAAGGAAGACAGAATAAATAAAGGGGATGTAAATAGTGTGCTGAAAATTATCTAGCCTAGACAGGACTCGCAGCAATGGTTTTAAGTTGGAAAAATTCAGATTCGGGGAAGGTTTATAGGAAAGTACTGGTTTGGTAATAGAGTTGTGGATGAGTGGAACAAACTCCCAAGTACCGTTTTAGAGGCAGAACGTTGTGTAGCTTTAAAAATGGTTTGGATAAATACATGAGTAGATGTGGGTGGGTGTGAGTAGACCTGATAGCTTGTGCTAACAGGTCGGTTGCCGTGTTCCTCCTTAAGTCAATGTGACCTGACCTGACTAGGTTGGGTGCTTTGGCTTAAGCCGGTTTGGAGACTTGGACCTGCCTCGCATGGGCCAGTAGGCCTTCTGCGTGTTCCTTCGTTCTTATGTTCTTAGTTCTTATAGTTTCGTTCGGATTTTAAACCCGAGGGTTAGCCACCCAGGTAAACCCAAGAAAGCAGTGCGTCATCGAGGACTGTTAACTTATTTCCATTGGGGTCCCTTTAAACTTTCCCCAGGATGCGACCCAACCCGTCGACTAACACCCAAAGGGACCTATTTGCTGCAGGTGAACAGGACAGCAGGTGTAAGGAACGTGTCGAAATGTTTCCACCGCCGGGAACCCAACCCGGGGCCCCCCGGTGTGAAGCGGGAGCTTTTAGCCCCCCAGGCCACCGGGCACCTGCTTGACTCAGCAGTAGTATAACAGGTTATCTCCCTGCTTGACTCAGCAGTAATATAACAGGTTATCTCCCTGCCTGACTCAGCAGTAATATAACAGGTTATCTCCCTGCTTGACTCAGCAGTAGTATAAACAGGTTATCTCCCTGCTGACTCAGCGTAATATAACAGGTTATCTCCCTGCTTGACTCAGCAGTAATATAACAGGTTATCTCCCTGCTTGACTCAGCAGTAATATAACAGGTTATCTCCCTGCTTGAGTCAGCAGTAATATAACAAGTTATCTCCCTGCTTGACTCAGCAGTAATATAATAGGTTATCTCCCTGCTTGACTCAGCAGTAATATAACAGGTTATCTCCCTGCTTGACTCAGCAGTAGTATAACATGTTATCTTCCTGCTTGACTCAGCAGTAATATAACATGTTATCTTCCTGCTTGACTCAGCAGTAAAATAACATGTTATCTCCGTGCTTGACTCAGCAGTAGTATAACATGTTATCTCCCTGCTTGACTCAGCAGTAGTATAACAGGTTATCTCCCTGCTTGACTCAGCAGTAGTATAACATGTTATCTCCCTGCTTGACTCAGCAGTAATATAACAGGTTATCTCCCTGCTTGACTCAGCAGTAGTATAACATGTTATCTCCCTGCTTGACTCAACAGTAGTATAACATGTTATCTCCCTGCTTGACTCAGCAGTAATATAACAGGTTATCTCCCTGCTTGACTCAGCAGTAGTATAACATGTTATCTCCCTGCTTGACTCAACAGTAATATAACAGGTTATCTCCCTGCTTGACTGAGCAGTAGTATAACATGTTATCTCCCTGCTTGACTCAGCAGTAATATAACATGTTATCTCCCTGCTTGACTCAGCAGTAGTATAACATGTTATCTCCCTGCTTGACTCAGCAGTAATATAACATGTTATCTCCCTGCTTGACTCAGCAGTAGTATAACATGTTATCTCCCTGCTTGACTCAGCAGTAATATAACATGTTATCTCCGTGTTTTACTCAGCAGTAGTATAACATGTTATCTCCCTGCTTGACTCAGCAGTAATATAACATGTTATCTCCCTGCTTGACTCAGCAGTAATATAACAGGTTATCTCCCTGCTTGACTCAGTAGTAGTATAACATGTTATCTCCCTGCTTGACTCGGCAGTAATATAACATGTTATCTCCGTGCTTGACTCAGCAGTAGTATAACATGTTATCTCCCTGCTTGACTCAGCAGTAATATAACATGTTATCTCCCTGCTTGACTCAGCAGTAATATAACAGGTTATCTCCCTGCTTGACTCAGCAGTAATATAACAGGTTATCTCCCTGCTTGACTCAGCAGTAGTATAACAGGTTATCTCCGTGCTTGACTCAGCAGTAATGTAACAGGTTATCTCCGTGCTTGACTCAGCAGTAATATAACATGTTATCTCCGTGCTTGACTCAGCTGGGTAGTCACACAGGGTTCAATAAGACGCAAGGTTTTAGTTACCCTTACAATCAACCATCAACATCAACTACCACCATTGTCCTCCCCCATCATGGATCACAATTCTCTTACAATGGTAATATTAACCTTCCAGTGCTCTTACTTATATATTCCTTGTAAAGTTAAATATGATCACTTGTTATATACACCGAGAAGTCTGTGTTTGTGTATAAAGATTTTATTTGTTTACAATATGTGATTATTACAATTTTTGTTAAGTATGAAGAAAGCCACTATCATACCGGGGCATGAATTAATACTGAGGTAGGCCTACTGGCCTATGCTAGGCAGGTTTAGCATTTGTGTGCCTTTTATTGTAGGATGATCCTCACTTTAATGTCAATAATTCAGTTTATTCCTAGTATATCTTTTATTGTAACTGATTTTCACAGTTGAGTTACTTAACTGTTTTAACTTTAAAGGTTTAAATAGTAAGATATTACAAGGACCCCAATGGAAATAAGTCACTTTTTGGGGGTTTATCCTAGATAATTTACACTATATGATAATTGTACTTATGAGTACCTGTGCCGAAATAAACTTACTTAAAATTATTGCATTACTAACACTACCAGGGAGTTTGTTCCACTCATCTACAACTCTGTTGGCAAACCGGTACATCACCAGGACACTAGAGGGGCTCCGGTGGCTAACGCGCTCGCTTCACACGGTGAGGGCCTGGGTTTGATTCCCGGCCAGAGTAGAAACATTGGGCGTGTTTCTTTACACCTGTTGTCTATGTTCCCCATCAGTAAAATGGGTACCTGGGTGTTAGTCGACTGGTGTGGGTCGCATCCTGGGACACTGACCTAATTTGCCCGGAAATACTGAGCATAACAAGGGGTTTTCTATATAGTAGTATGTCATTGATGTCAGCTAGGCCTGTATACCATGTACATGTACTTGTAGTAAATAAAGATATTATTATTATTATTATAATTATTATTAAATCCAAATTTCTCCAACTTGAATCCATTAATGCGAGTCCTGTCTTGATTAGATATTGTCAACATGCTGTTGATATCCCTTTTATTTGTTCCTGTTACCCATTTGTACACTTCAGTCGTATCTCTGCCTAATTCTGTGTCTTTCCTTGCAAGGAGTACACGTACAGTGTCATCAACCCATTGTCTTCGGAAACGTTTCTTGTGCATGGAATCAACTTCGTCATCATTTTCTATATATTCAAGGATCTGACTTTTTGGGGTTATCCTAGGTAATTTACACCATGTATAATAACTGTACTTAGTATGTGTACCTGTACCTAAATAAACTTAATTACTTACTAAGTGCACATATTTCCATCCTCTAATATGGAGACCAGAACCAGGCAGCATAATCTAAGTGAGGTCTAACAAAAGATATATAAAATTGAAGTATAACCTTTGGACTTCTATTACTGTATTTATATTTCTTGATGTGAAGCCAAGAATTCTACTAGCTTTATTACCTGGAGGGTGTTCGGGGGTCGACACCTCTGTGGCCTGGTCCATGACCAGGCCTTGTGGTGAATCAGGGCCTGATCATCCAGGCTGCTACTGCCAGCCATACATAATCCACTACCTGACCTAGCTGGTCAGGAACTAACTTTAGGTATATGTCCAGTTCCCTTTTGAAGACAGCCAGGGGTCTATTGGTGATCTCCCTTATGTATGCAGAGATGTAGTTGAACAGTCTTGGACGTCTGACACTTATTGTGTTTTCTTGTACTCATGGCACCACCTGCCAAGTCTTTTACTTTTATAGGGAATAATTTCTATGCACTGTTGTCTTGCCTTTTAAATTTCTGCAAATTTGAGTTCCTAGATTTTTTATTAATTCACTTTCACTAAGGTCTCCACCGTATGTGCACATTTAATCAAACTTGTTTGTTTCCAGTGATGGCATCAAGGGATAGTGAAGACACAGGCAGTGGTTCTGGTGCTTCAGGTTTGGTCCATCATCAACACCAAAACTCTCAGACTTCTAGTATGACAGCTGCAGTTGGAGCTGCAGGAGGAGGAGCAGGATCAGGAGAGGGATGCCTGTTGGCGGAGCAGTTGCTGCAGGCAGCTCTCAAGCAGCAGGGGCAGGAGAAGCAGCTGGGAGAGTTAGCAATGTACAGCGTATCCAGCAAAAGAAAGCACAAGTGAGAGCTTGGCCCCGGGACAAGAAGCTGGAGAAGCTGGCCATATATTCTTCATGTAGGGTGAGTAGATATACCTGTAGTCCCTTACAAGTTTTTCTTCTCTTGAAGAGTGAGACATATGTGCAACATTTGGGAATCTTGTACAAGTGTCTCATTCTTCAACTTGTCAATTCTTCATCTTGTCAATTTTCTAAGCCATTTATATAACATTATCTGCTCTTATAGCCCAGCCTGAAGCAGCCTTTTTTTTTTTATTGATTGCCTATTCAGCCAGGTTGTCGCTGTTGGCTGCCTTCTAGCTCATGTAGGTTCACAGCCTAATTGAGGTAATGATCTAGTTTCCACTTGAAAACTTCTGCTCTTGTTCAAGCAATATTTAGAGGTAGGACCCCAATTTTTTGACCAACTACAGTACTGAATTTGTGGCCAACATAAAATCTTAACTTGCCACTGTTGCCAAGCACAAGTGACTAGCTGCAGTTCTAAATTTATTAGTATTAAGCTTTATAATTAAAGGCAGTCTTACTTCCCTGGAATAAATCTGTCGATAGAGTAGATAGGAGGCTTATTAGTTGAATCATCTACCCCATTAGAGAGGATCTCTTGGAAAGACAGATACGAGAGATCTAGATAGATTTTAAGAGGACACAAGAAACTCCGAACTCACAAGTTTTAATACTTGAATTCAGTCACCAAACCAGGTAATGTTGGTTGTACAATATATGAGAAAAACTATTCTAATTAGCCAAATGTTGAAATACTGTATATAAATATTTCCATCTAGTATGTCTTATCAATACATTAATGTATGTTTCATATAATCTAACAGGCTGATGAAAACTGCAGGTGTAATGGGTGGAAGAATCCAACACCACCAGCACACCCTGCACGGCCAGACACACCCCAGCCTGCTGCACCTCCGTCTCAGCCGTGTCGCAGCTGCACACATACCTTAGGTAGTCATGCACAGTGGTTTAAATTATATTTTAATGTTTACCCTAAAGTAATATTTTTCTCAAAATAAATGTTTTTGTGGTTGCCACCTGTTACCTAAGCATATTGCTGTTTTGTCAGGTTTAACTTGTATGGTTTACTATTTTGCATATGGTATTTTGGTTTTATTAAAAAAATAATACAGTATTTAATGGAGTCCTGGAGGTGGGAAGGGCACTGCCTGCACTCTGAAGGATGAGCATGAGTGTTGCAGTCAGAGGGTTATCTGATTGTGATGCAGTCAGAGGGTAATCTGGATGCCCATTGAGTTTTAAAAATAAAATTAAAAAATGAAAAGTGAAAGAAAAAATAATGGGCCACATGAATAAACAGTACAGATTGTATAGCAAAATATTATAACTGTCAGAAGACTTATTGACATAAGATTTTTACCTTGGTTTTTTCCACCATGTTAAGGTGACAAAGAAGGATATACATTCACCATCATTCACAGAGGTTCACAAGTATCACAGTTCAAATGGCCTTCTAAACAACAACATCACCACCCATTCTTCGGAGTTCAGGCAGTCCAGTGAGCTCAGAGTTCAGTCTGGTGAGCTGGTTTACCTGGGACTCTTAAAAAATACTACCTTGGGAAGCAACTTTGAAATCTAATACTGCAGCACAAGAGTTAATAACTATCTCTGTCTTGATGCCTTGAACCTTCTCTGTCTGACATTTATTGTGCTATTTCTGTTACATTTAATTTTTTTTTTTTGGAATGCAGTATTCCATGCTCTTGGGCTAGGTGATTTCTCATGCCACAAAAGGGGGAAACCTTGTAAATATAATATTAATAATATTTTATTTCAGTATGATACAATGTTTGTACAGAGATGGGTGACATTTAGTTGTGCATACAAAAAGCCCATAGTTATGTAGAGCATGATGATGATGATGATGATGATAATAGAAGAGAAGCAATTATAAAGATTTTGAAGGAAAAAATTGCCTTATTTCTTAGGATCTGGATACTGGCAATATATATGGATACTTCTGAACAGGGGTGAGGGTGTTGCACTTCGGAAAATGACCTAAACTGTGATTTCGGTACTCTTCTGGCAAGACGGGGATTGAATGAATGATGATTAATGTGGTTCCTCGTTTTTTGGGGGGATGTCACCTTTCCTCAGTGGGAGATAGTTAGTGTGTTAAAATAAGAAATTTAATGGAGGGTAGTTTAAACAGTTTATCATCTTTGCACCCAGGTGACCATGTAAGTCACCTTGAATCTGCTGGAGATGATGATTTGGATCGCTTACTCTCCATCGTTGTTGACGTGGAGAATCTCTTCATTTGTGTTCACCGAGAGGAGGATCCAGATACCAAGCAGGTAAAAAGGTCATTTTATAAATGGAATATAATGTTTTACAAATGAATGAACCTGTGTATGTTTTTACTGGACCAGATTTTGCATATTAGTGAAGGTGGTTTTACTGTGCTTCATTGATGTTGATATATAAATATATGGTGGGCACCCAGAAGTCAGGCAATAATATGAACACTAAAATAACATTGTATTTTTTGTTTGAGTGATTAGAGGAAATATGGAATAATCCCATGCAAAAAGAAGGGATGCCATAAGTACGGTTAGGATATACAGTATCAATTTCCCTTTATCCTTATGATTGGTGGGGGCAAGAAATTAATTACATTGTTCTATGACTGAACAAGTGTATCATCAGGGCCACAACTAAAAGTCTCAGATTTACTAAATTAGCGCATTATGCAGTAATTGTGAACAAGCGATACAAAATGCAAAACAACCATGGGGGGAGTTGAGTGATAGCTCTAGGTCTTTTGTGTTGCAATTAACACATCATCAGGAGCTTGCAGTGTTGCAGAAAAAAAGAGAAATTCCAAGCAAATATCGTTCAGAAGAAGCATCTTTGCATCTTTACCAAGTATAATTTAATTTTTAAAATACTTTTAAAGAATTTTTTAAAGCCATTTTTTTTGTTTTGTCTTATTATTTCCTTCTTTTGTTAATTTTAAATTTATCAACAGGTGTATTCTTATCTCTTCCGCCGTCTTCGAAAATGCATTTTGCAAGTCAGTCCCCCAACGGTAGAAGGACCCCTGGGCACCCCACCATTTGAACGACCTTCAATTTTCAAGGGTGTAACCAACTTCGTTCTCCACAAGTTTAATCATCTTCAACAAAAGGTAAGTAATGTACACTTAACAGGTATTTCAGTGCTTTCCATGTATTCTTCAGCGAAGTTAAATGGCATTACTGTCAAGCAATGAAAATTCAAAATCTAATATTTGAGGGAAGTGAATCGTTTATTTTGGTATTTGGACAGTGATATGATCTTGTTTGATACATACTATTATGGTTTGTCTTCGAAAGCATTCCTTGAAATTCTCGCTTAGGTTCTCAGAGTGGGCTAGGTAGGACTAATCGTAAGTCCAGAGCACCTCCATCCTTGGTTTATCGGAACTCTTGCTGCTTGACCGTATAAGATTTTTCGTGGAATGAAGTTCAGCTAACTCCAAGGATTGTAAACATTTGATATTTTATGAGAGTAATTCAGTTACCTCTGAAGTAAGCAATACAGCTTGGTTCAAAACTAGTTGTTTTAGGGCAGAGCTTCTCAACATTTTTTATTTCACTGCGTGTATTCAAGCTTGTTTGATCACTGCATATATTCAAGCTTGTTTAATCACTGCATATATTCAAGCTTGTTTGATCACTGCATATATTCAAGCTTGTTTGATCACTGTATATATTCAGGGATTGTTTGATCACTGCATATATTCCAGCTTTTTTGATCACTTCATATATTCAAGCTTGTTTGCAAACTTGTGATGCCAAACCAAATTTTATAAACGTACCAAGGCACATTAGAGACTCAGGGCACACCGGTATGCCATGTCACATTGGATGGGAAGTGCAGTTTTAGAGGAAAAGATGTATTCGTAATTATAATGTTTACTGTGCTGATGTGAAGGCGACAAATCACATCTACTTATGATGCAGAAAGAATGAAGTTCCCAAAATAAACATCAGAGACAAAGCACAGTTGGATAATATTGTACAAGGGCTCTTCAGCAGATGTTTCATTTGTGGTTAAATAAGTGTCTAAGAGCTCTTTATTAAATGTTTCACATGTCTCCTAACTAGTATATATAAGAGTTCTCCAGCCGATGTTTTGTGTGTTTAGTCAAACTAGCGTTCAGCATGGAGTTCTTTATCAGATGTTTTAGATATTCTAAATTCCTTAACTCTTGAAGTAGCTAGAAACATCTGCAGAAGATTTACACATGATCACTGTCCTCTCAGTGAAGCAAGATCTCCAAGATTAACACCGAGTCAGAAAGTAGAAGTTTATGCCTTTCTATATATTTAGGACTTCCAGATGATGAGTGACTTGGCCAAGATGTTTCTTCACTGCCTCAATCACTGGCGTCTAGAAACTCCATCTGCCAGACGAGCTCACACAACTGTTGAAGAAAGTTCAGCTTATAAAGTCAATTATACAAGGTCAGTGTCAATTTATTGTGTGCGAGAGGCTTAGACTTCCAGCAAGCATGGGTGAATGTGTTATATAGGAGTGAGTGGAGGCAAGTGCTGTTGGAGTGTGAACAAAGAAACTTTTATGTGGGGATTCTGGGAAATCAGTTAGCTGGACTTAAGTCCTGGAGGTGGGAAGTACAGTGCCTGCACTCTGAGGGAGGGGTGGAGATCTTTCTTCTTTCTTTCAACACACCAGCCATATCCCACTGAGGCAGGGTGGCCCAAAAGGAAAAACGAGAGTTTCTCCTTTTACATTTAGTAATATATACAGGAGAAAGGGTTACTAGCCCTTTGCTCCCGGCATTTTAGTCGCCTCTTATGACATGCATGGCTTACAGAGGAAGAATTCTGTTCCACTTCCCTATGGAGATAAAAGGAAATAAACAAGAACAAGAGCTAGTAAAAAAATGGAAGAAAACCCAGAGGGGTGTGTATATATATGTTTGTACAGTACGTACATGCATGTGTAGTGTGACCTAAGTGTAAGTAGAAGTAGCAAGACTACCTGAAAGAATCTTGCATGTTTATGAGACAGAAAAAGACACCAGCAATCCTACCATCATTTAAAACAATTACAGGTTTTCATTTTACTCTTTCTTGGCAGGACAGTAATACCTCCCTGGGTAATTGCTGTCTACCAGCCTACTACCTAAAAAGGGGTGGAGATATGTTGCAGTTTTTGAACTGTAGTATTGGCACCCCTCTGGCAAAACAGTGATGATAAAAGTGTTTCTTCTTTTTTGGGTCACCCATCCTCAGTGGGAAATGGTCGATGTGTTAAAAAGAATGAAAATTAACATCTGTATATTTTAGTAATTTATTAGCTTTCTTTCATTTTAGCCCTAATTAATTTGAGCTGTAGGACTACCTTCCAGCATGTCAATGAAGAGCATTAATAGAGGTGTAGTGATAAACACAGGCACTAATAACCAATTGTTGTTAAGAGGTATTTCTTAAAACACATAAGTTAACATTGTTCTGATATGGGGGATTTACTGTAGTATAACTTTGATTTAATGAGGTATAGGAGGAAAGGAAGGGTGATCTGTAATGCAAATTGTCTGATAAATCTGAATAGTAAATAATTGCAAATAACTTTACTGTACTGTATACATAATACAATACAGTACATACAGTTTACAGATATGCAGTAATAAAACACACATAACTTGCACATAGGAGAGAGGAGCTTATGATGACATTTCAGTCCGACTTGGACCATTTACATCGTTGTAAGCTCTTACGTGCAGGTTATTTGTGTATTGTTCCAGTCATGGTATTGTGCCTTTTTGTTATTTATACTGTAATAAACATTGAAAATAAAGGTGTTAAAAATACAGTACTTAAAATAATTTTATTTACTTTGTGGTGGATGGATAAGATTGTCTTTCTGTGATAGTATGATGGTGACTCTGAAATGATTTTATTCTGAGTTGGGTAGCTGTGAAGCTTCTCTTGCCTACTTGGAGATGGTCAGAGAGATGTAGAACCAGCAAGAGGTTTGGGAGAATGTATCCAGCTTCAATTGGGTGCCAGGTTGATACTGCTCCCTTGTAACAATTTCTCTAAAAAGTGTTCGTAATAAGCCTGCGCATTTCTTGTCTGAGACGTGAGCGCATATGATGAGAACATCAGCTGTACTATCGTATAGCTGACATTTTTGGTATCTTCACACTTGCTTTAGAGGCCATGGGTAGCCACAATGTACTTTATATTATAATAAATGAAAATAGTAAATTTGTCTCTGTGGGGAAGTGGAGAAGAATCCTTCCTCCGTGAGCCATGCATGTCATAAGAGGTGACGAAATGCCAGGAGTAAGGGGCTAGTAATCCCTTCTTCTGTATAAATTACTAAATGTCAACAGGAAAAGCTTTCATTTCTTTTATTTTTTGGGGTCACCATGCCTCAGTGGGAGACAACCATGGTTAAAAAAAAAAAAAAAATATTGGAAAACAGAGTGAATGATGATGACCTTCAAACTATTAACAACTCTATTAGCAACTCCGCAAAGTAATAAAAATGGAAAGTTTTGTACCCACCTTATTTTGTCCATTACTTTCAGAATCTGTTAGATGAAGGCCCATTAACTGTAGGTGTGCCCTTATTCACCTAGCAGTAAACAGGTACCTGGGTGTTAACTGACTTGGAATGTGATAATATACCCTAAATAGGGAAGGGCTTTGAAATGCTTTGATGTATGGTACTGGCTCTTAGCCTGTGAATTCATATATATAAAAAAGTTTCCAATTTATTAAAAATCTCCAGTTTTCATTTTTCTTTGTACAGTGTACAATAATAACTAGACTTGGTAATTTTTTTTTTTTTTTTTTTCAACAAGTCGGCCATCTCCCACCGAGGCAGGGTGACCCAAAAAAGAAAGAAAATCCCCAAAAAAGAAAATACTTTCATCATTATTCAACACTTTCACCACACTCACACATTATCACTGCTTTTGCAGAGGTGCTCAGAATACAACAGTTTAGAAGTATGTACGTATAAAGATACACAACATATCCCTCCAAACTGCCAATATCCCAAACCCCTCCTTTAAAGTGCGGGCATTGTACTTCCCATTTCCAGGACTCAAGTCCGACTATATGAAAATAACTTGGTAAATATCCTTGTTAAATATAGTACTTATGCAGAGAAACCATTTTTACTGATAAAATTATTCTTTGTAATTATTGTTGCAGGTGGCTGTGTTTTAGCTATGTCCCACAACTGTGTGACTCACTCCCTCACCATGAAACTACAACAATATTTGGAAGGACTTTCCTGCGTGCTGTTTTCCACACTTTACGAAAGCAATTGCTTGATAAATTTCGAGCTGAGAAAGATAAAATGCCCGCTGAGAAGAAGCTGCTGCTTCTTAATCATTTTCCCAGGTAAATCTGTCTATGACTCTTTATATAGTGATATTTATATATGAATTAATAATGTAAACACTTAAGCTGGTATTAACCCTTTGAGGGTCGACAGACCCTCTCCGAAACTCGTTCTCAGGGTCGGCCAAATTTCAAAAAAAAAAAAATTATTTTTTCTTATGAAAAAATAGAGTTTTTTTTTCTAAACATTATAGGCTAAACAAAAAAATTTTAACGTCAATACTTACCGAGATATGGAGGCGTGAAATTTGCCAAAATTGAACAACATATGGTAACATCGCCGACTGCCGTCACCCGGTATTTTTCTATTTACTTTTTTATGTACTATTTTCAATTATTTTTCAATTTTTCTTTTTCTTAGTAACTTTTATGGCCTCTGAGGCCAACATGATCAGTATTTTGTAAGTTTTTTCTTTTTCAATACTAAAACAATAAGGGCTAAACACTGTTGTCATTATTTTGTTTACAGAAAATATTTACACAAACAAACAATATGAAATGTTGTTTATTACTATTTTCTATATTTTATATACACATATACAGTCACGGGGAATGTTTCTAGAAGTTCTGAAGCCTGTGGAAGTCTTTGAAACATGGTGTCATGCACAGTGGGAGTTTTCACTCCTCACAAATAAAACAAGTGTCTCTGCATTGTTGTGTGCGTTTTTTTGTATGTGCACAGACGTAACACCTCTTCTGAGCCTTTTTTTTCAAAGCAGTAGCGGGCAGTTTTCCCGGGAAGTGATCACCATGCTTCAGACGAGCAGGTAGTTGTTGAAAATTTGGGGGGCGGTCAATTGCAGGTGCTGTTCCTTGGTACTTGAATACATTTGTCTGATGACAGACAAACAAAATTCGCCGTACGGGTGGTTTGTTTCTGGTGCTCATCTTATACATATTATAAGCATTGAGCATGGAAATGCCAGAAGATGGAAAAACAGTTTGATGTACCACTTATAACTCTTGCGAACACAATAAAGCAAACCCAATCTGCATGTCACATTTGTCCACTGAACGCATGTTGAAGGTGTATCAATCACAGCTGCAGGTTTTAGAATGGGTTCATTTCTCTCTCTATGCTGCCTGCCACTGTCTGCCATTTCATTAGGGTGAATTGATGACAACAGTGTGACATCTCGTTTGTCATGCCACCGAAATGCCATGATGTCATTGGCAGCAAACCCTTTCACCTCACCTCTACGAGTGCCAGCGTCAAACCTGGGCATATGTTTCCGATTTGCACGCACTGTGCCACACACATCTGTCCTGTTCATCGCAAAAAAACACTGAGTGAGGGGCTTGTGTACCAGTTATCTGTAAAATTAATAATATGCCCCTTACCAAGGTATGGTTCTATCATTGTTCGAACCCACATCACCTGAGATGCCCAATAAACTTCCTGGTATTTTGCAATGTATAACTTCCAGTGTACACAATAATATCCAAACCAGACCACTGTAAACAATCACAAAGCACAAACAACTTTATACCAAAGCTTTCCTCTTGCTTGGTATGTACTGCTTGAAAGAGAGTCTTCCTTTGAACAGAATAAAAGACTCGTCAATTACAAGCTTCCTGAAGGGATAAAAATGCTTTACTGAATTTCTGTTTCAGATACACAAACACATTCCTAATCTTATATAACCTGTCAGTTCTGTCAGGCCTGGTTTATCTGAGAAGTGAAGCATACGTAACATTAGCACAAATCGATTCACTGGCATTATATCACTGAACCTGGTGTTGCAATCAGGGGGTCTGTTGATCAGTATGATTTCACTTTGTGCTTATACACATGTGGCATAAGCATTATTGTGGCAAAGAAAAGATACACTCAGCCACAGTTGCCTCCTTCCACTGGTGTAGATGTGATTTTGGTGAAAGTTTAAAGTGTTTGCCATGGTGTACTCGTAGTATGTGTTGCTTTCCATGACAATACTTTTCATCAGTGGTTCGTCAAAGAATAACTCGAAACATTCCAGTTCAGTGGCATTGTTCCCAAGTGCACAAGATGGCCGTTTTTCCACTTTGGCTGTCATCAAACTGGTGGGGATTTGGAACAAAATTGACAGCTTCCTGCCAATTCCAGGTGCGGTCTGCTGGTGGTACTGGACAATGACAGGGGGTTGTGGTTGTGGAAAGGGTTTTGGTTGTGGAGGCTGGTGTGGGTGGGTGAGTGGGGGATGGTGGCCTTTGTTTTTAGATCAGCTGAGGCAGCGGTGTGGGTGGCAGCGTGGGTGGCAGCATGGCCCACTGCTGGTGCCTCACCGCCGGCACCACTAAACCCCCACCACATTTTCCATCCCAATTGCAACAGTTATCTTCGTCATTTTCACTGTCTGTTCCTGTTGTACAGCCACGGGATGTACTCCCAGATACAACTCCCTTCCCCCTTTGGGATAACATATGGCACACTACCAGAGCGCATATATGTCGTATATACTGACGCTTCACTGGGGAATATTGCACTTCACTATCACTACTGGAACTAGTTTGAAGAGCTTGTAGTTCATATTCACTATCACTATCATCACCCATGCTCTCATCTGAGTCTGGGATTTGGGAAAACAGAAGTTTTCCTCTTGGTTCTGGAACAAAAACTGAACGTGAACAAGAGGGCCCAGCACCAGAGGTGGAAGGCTGAGGGTCGTCTGGTTTTTCCTCATATACCGATATTATGGTCATTAGTTTTTGGTCAAAACCTCACTAAAACCACGAAACTCATCTTCACTGGCACTTCCATCACTATTAGAACTGTCACTGGGGAACAAAACTGCCCCAATTCGCCGAGGAGTGAGGATCTTCTTACCGCGAGGCATGGTGGACATTGTTTACTAAGAGGGCATTCCCACAATGCACCACTGGGTCCCAGATTTTTTTTCTACTGCACACACCGACCATGCAGACCCATTCTCTCCCACCTAGGCCTACCAGCCTTTTCGCGCGAGATTTGAGGCCGCTAGAATTTATGCGTACTAGTACGTACGTCAAAAACCCCTACGCGTAAGACGTACTAGTACGACCAAAACCCTCAAAGGGTTAAATGAAGCTGGTATTAAAAAGATTTGACAAGTTAATGACTTACCTTTAGATACAGCATATGTAGAGGATTGATTATGGAAACATGTTCATAACACATATTTTCTTTTTTATGACATCAACTGTTTCCCACCAAGACAGAGTGAGAAATGTTTAATTTTTGTCTCTGTAAGTTATGGTAAGTTTATTTCCTATGGATTTTAGAAATAGCAAGACAGCCATTTTTGTTACAAATGATTTTGTAATGCATTAAGCAGGGAAGCTTTTCCAGCTCTTGCTTGCATGCTTTTAAAAGTCCTTCTTTAGATAATCACTGCCTTCAAGTGCCTCTTTAGGGAAGCCAAGTGCATAAAAAATATGGATGCTACATCTGGTTATTTGACAGGAATATAAAAAATTGGCTGTACCATTTGCCACCAGAAGGCCTCTAGAGAAACTTTCCTTTCATTTGTACCCTCATGGGTAGAGTAATTCTATTTTTCTTTTTTCCCCACCAAGTGATAGTCAGTGGCCATGGACTTCTTGCAGCCTTTCAGACAAATTTATACTTTGGCTAGCTATACTTATCACAACCCACCATGACCCACCCTACCTAAACAATGCTCTCACCATTCCTTCCCAACACTATATGCCATATGCCCATGAACCTAATTCTTTCACTGGTATCAGTGATACGGTGGAGAGCACATGTAAAGTATTCTGTGTCAGATACAATAGGAAAGATAGTGAGCATGAATAGGGCAGTGGATGGGAGGGAATGTGAGAGAGGGAAGAAGGGAATAGGAGAGATGGAAAGGAAGAAAGAGGAAGGAAAGAGAATGGGATTCATCTGAATATAGTAGTATACAACATTTTCAATTTCATTGTTAAAAAAAAAATGCTGTATATCTAATTAGATATTGAATATTATGGCTTGGGGGCACATTTCCAATTGAACTATGCATGTCTCTGAGAAAATAGGTTGAGAGTTGCAAGCACTTCATTAATAAATGATTTTCAGGAAAACATTAACGTTGTAAGTGAGGTGACCTGTTTTATTAGAAACTGATAAGTTTTATTTACTATTGCAGATTCTTGTCAATGCTTGAAGAAGAAGTTTACTCAAATACTTCTCCAATTTGGGATACTGACTACCGGCCTCAGTTACCTCCACACTTACATAACCAGGCTGCTGAAAGAGGTACAACCATGAATCAAATTTTTGTAAAGAATTTTGTAATCTAATAGGTAACATTTGTGATTGTTTTTAGTGCAGGAGAGCCCCGTTTCTATGGCTCCTAGGTTCTTAACACTGGCGATAAGCGAAAACCACCATCGGGTGGAAAAAAACAGTTTTTTCGATATCGGCTGTGTCTAAAACACTTGATAATGTATTTACACCATCATATATTAACCCTTTCAGGGTCCGTGCCATAGATCTACGGCTTTGAGTTGAGGGTCCAAACCGTAGATCTACGCCATGAGCTCAACTCACTCTGATAAGCTGTGAGTAAATTTGGGCCTAGATATGAGAGAATACATCTATGTAGTATGTGTGTGACTCTGCAGTGTTTTTTCGTATGTTTTTTATAGTTGTATTTGCGATTTCTTGGTCTCATTTGATAGAATGGAAGATATATTACAGAAATAGAGATGATTTTGATTGGTTTTAGTACTGAAAATGGCTTGAAACTGAGCTCAAAGTAGCGGAAATGTTAAATTTTTGCCGATGTTCAAGAGTAAACGAATGACCTCACACATCTAATACACGCCAGCTGGTGGATCTAATATACGTTCACAAATGTGGTGATATTATTTATACAATTATTACAATATTGCATAGCAGTAAATCTTCTATTTTTCGTTTGAATAAAAATTCATTATATGAATAAAAAATCAAAATGGAATTCATTTGTAAAGCCTGAAAATGAAACTAATGAACAGAGGAAATGTTAGTTTAGTGCCAGGAATGCCTGCATTGTTTATTCTGGACCCTATTTTTGAATTTGGAATATTTTGAACTTTGTGTTAAATTGGCCAAATTACCAATTTCCGATCACTTTATTTTGTAGTTGAAACAGTTGACTTGGTGATTTCTTGTGCTCAATCGATAGAATAGAAGTAATAATAGTGAAAGAGCTAAGAATTTGGTCGACTGGAATAATGTAATTGGCCTAAAAGGGGAGTCAAATTTGGTAAAATCGCCGATGTGTAAATGTCACTGACACATCAAAATTCGCAAGAGCATAATTTCGTCAGTTTTCCATCAAATTTCATACTTTTTGTTTCATTACATTCAGAAAAAGATTATATACCATTTCATAAGAAAAATAAAAAAATTTTTTTTGAAAATTCTTGAACCCTGGTGCACACTTTGAAATATGGCCTCTGGAGCCTGAAAGGGTAAAGTGCTCAGTACAGCTAGACATAAAAAAAAGCATTCAAAAATAAAATAAATACAACAGTACATATAATACATACCTTAAAATGTAGCGCCGGTCGTCCTTCCCTTACACAACTGCTGTTCGAAAACGGCGGAAAAGTGGAAAAAGCACTAAGCATAATGAACAGTGGCTCATTTGAAAACCACTGAAAACTTGGAACACTGAAAAGAGGGTGTCAAATGTACAGGACCCTCCTGTACTTTTTAACAATGGATACAGTACAACACCATTATCTTGAACTGGTTGGGACTGAGGGTGGTTCAGAATATGACTGTTTCTAACATCAAGATAAAGCTTGTTGGTAGTTTTTAGACAAATAATGTCGTTACTTGAATAAGGTATACCATATTTTCTGCCATGTAAGGTGTGCCTTTTTTCCATGAAAAGTCTATGAAAATCATCCTGTGTCTTGTATGCTCAGGGTCAGGGTCAAAGGTAGGCTTTGGGCTACACTTTAGCATAAGATTACAATTTAGCATAAGATTACCAGTTTAGCATAAGGATTACCAATTTACCATTATGATACTTCTGTAATGTGCCTTATATGCTAGAAAATATGATAAATAGTTATTACATCCCAGGAATCCAAAGGCCTGTTATCCTGGGTGTAAAGGGAGCAAAATAAACACAGCAGAAAAACTTTTGACTTATATTATCCTTCACCAAGTAAGAACAGAATTATGTACACTATATACACTATGTACAACAACAGGTATTAGTGCACTCCACGGTAAGCAAGGCAGAATAGAAGCCACTAGAGAGCAGACCGTGCTTCAACCAGCCCTAGAATGGGAATGACAAGGGCAGACAGGTGTGTGGTACCCACAACACCTCTGCAATTGCCAAAACCATCTTCTCATTGGCTGGAACCTGAGTACTGATCGAACGATGGGGCCCCATCGTCAACCCTTAGCACCTGGTTCACTGGTTGGGGGAGATAGCCTTTCAATGAGGGTGTGTACATGCGCCGAATAAACTGGTCACCACAGGTCCCTAACACATCCTAACCTAAAATATCTGCCAACTTATTTTTTTTGCCGGCAATCTGTAATATTCTGAGAGAATAGGGTTGCAGTTGTAGACTCCATCTCATGAGCCTCGTATTGTGGTTCTTCATGGCTTGGAGATATACCAGAGGGCTGTGGTCACTATAGACAGTGACCACCTGTGAAGTCTGGCCCATGTAAACATCGAAGTGCTCCAAAGCCAGTACCAGTGCGAGGGCTTCTTTTTCAATAGTAGAGTAAGCCCTCTGGTGTGGCTGGAACTTTGATGAATAGAATGCAACAGTACTGCCCCAACCCCAGACTTGCAAGCATCAACATGATCGAACGATGGGGCCCCATCGTCAACCCTTAGCACCTGGTTTGCTGGTTGGGGGAGATAGCCTTTCAATGAGGGTGTGTACATGCGCCAAATAAAGGGTACGTACTCTTTGCATGCCACAATAGTACATGTAGCAAAACCTGTTTAAGTATTGTTACATGTGAGTACATAGTTTGTGTATTGCTTTATGAATTCCCTCCCGTGTTGCTTAAGATGGTGTCAGGATTACTGATGACTAGAAAGTAGCAAGTCAATTCGTGGTTAATGATAAGATCTCTGAAAGCTTGAGATTATATCCACATGCACCAGCAAGATGAATGAACTGTTGTTTGATGAGAATGTAACCTAGTAAATATCCAGTGTTTGTAGTCATAATGATAAGATAAATATATTGATTTTGTACCCACATATTGCACTGGATAAATTAGCTGTAATATATAAAATGACTAATATTTTAAGTAAGCATTTAACTGTTCCCAGTGAGATCTGACAAGACAAGTTAATGCTCGTAAGATGGGCTTAGAGTGTACAGTAACTAGCTGCTCAAATGGCACAGTGTGTATTTTTAAACTAGGATGCTGGTAATGATCTTGACACAGTGTTCTCCCACAGGAAGTACTGCTGCTCGGGGTGAATTTGAGAGGCTGTCAGTGCAGCCAGGGGAGGGTCAGTACACCACTGTTAGTCTGACTCCTGCTACAAGAAGACAGCGCCTTGATGACAGGTGCTGCTCCTAGAAAACTATTAGATGCTGTTGACAGGGGGTTGTAGGATACATTGGTCAATGACAGGCCTTTGTTAGACAAACTGGTCACTGAGTGCTATATCATCAGTAAAAGCATGTTCATGTTTGAGGTTTCTTTCAATGCATAGATTTGATTACATAGTTGTTGTACAGTCCAGCCTCTCTAACCTGAAATTATCAAGACCAAAATTTTTCCAGTTTAGTAGATTTCCTGATAAAGTTGAGAGGTAATAGTAGCATTTGATGCATGTTTCAGCCGACCCAATAATGATTACTAGATTCAGTGATTCACGAAAATCATAATAATATGGTTATCAACAAATTAGGGAACAGGCAGGGTTCAAACCCATAGCAGGCTAGTGCTCTTACCACTATTCCAGGAAGTGAGCATGGTTTGAACCTGTGAAAACCATAAAATTTATTCAACTAGTTATATTTCCATATGCAGGAGAAGCTAGCATGGGCCCAATTGTGAACACAGATTCAAATCTTTATATACAAATACATGTAATCTGTAGACACCTGTAATCGTATGGACCACTTGGTCTACGGGAGTTGTTAGTCCTTTAAATATATATGCTTTTATTTATTTATGCACAAATAATTTTTTTTTCCATTTGTTAATGAGGAACTTTAATGCACTATTTCTTGTCAAGTTTTTCTTAGTTTCTTATGGGAAAGTCAAAAAATTATCTTTGGATGATGCCACATTTATAATTGAGAAAGGAAAATCATATTTGATTTGAATTCTGTGTTAAAAAGTATTAGATTCAGAATTTTTGATAACTTGATGATTGATTCAAAATAATGCTTATTTGGCTGGGTGTTTGGGTCTCTGACACTATTGTTTTATTTGCCAGAGGAGAGAAGCGAGAAGGAGATGATTTGTCAGAGAGCATGATCAATAAGAGAATAAAAATAGAGACTGAGGACCTGGGAGAGGAAACAGTGGCCGAGGTTGTTGCTACTATTACTGACCCGAGGAAGATGATTGGTCCAGAAGTTCTTTTCTCAGAGAATGCTGCTAGAGATGAGGCTGCCAAGGTGAGATTCTCTTAGCATTAAGCATTTCAAAATCTCTTTGATCTCATTCTGTGGTTTTCAGGGGAGTTCGGATTTATGGGCCTCAGTCTATCTTCATAAAAATGATACCTTGCATGATACATTAACTACATCATTTATCTCCATATGTCCTCCAATACATTTTTATCAGATTTGTAGTAATAAAATTATGGTTCTTGTATTTGTTGGTTGTAACGATAAAGATGATCATGTAACTTCTCATTAATGTGCTTATCTTATATGCTGTAATTTACAGTAAGTACATTAGCAATACTTTTTTACATTTTTATTATTCACTGTGCATTAAGCTTGTTTATCTCTCTTCTATTTATATGCAATGCATTGTTTCTCTGGGAACTCCTCTCCAAGCAAGTGACCATAACAGAAATGCTGAGCAGCTCTGTCTAAGCCTGATCTTCTGGTATCTTATGTATCACATGTCCTATCATGGAAACACATCTATTATTTTTTATGAACATAGTATAAATTTTATATTTAGGTCCTGGACAGTATTGGCTGCACAATTTAAAATATGCTATGTAGATTTTATAGCTTTACTTCCCATGACTTTCAGTGCATTCTTTGGTATCAGAAAGAATGCATTATTAGTCTTCTATTGTAAAAAAAAAAGGCAAAAATGATGCAACAAATTCACTTAATTGACAGTCACCATCTGCAAATAAACTCATTGTGGAATTAGGTATTCTGTTATCTGTTTTTCTCATATACATTGCTGATAATACCTCAGTTATTCACTCATATTCTGATGATTCTAACTTCCTATTTTCTTCTTACTTCAGTCATGGCCCTTCTGCTGCTATCAATATTCTCATTTTTTGTGGTGCTTTTCTCTTATATGACTGATTGACTTCTATATCTTTGTCAGACACTTGCAACTTAGTTAAAAGTAATCCTAATAAAACCAAGTTTTGCCTTCATCTTTCTAGCAAACTTGAAAACTATTAGCTTCATTTTGAAAAATCTTATCTTGATTCAATCTTTTATCAATATCTAGGGCATCAAATTTCTGTACCGTACTTCCACAATGTTGCAAATTCTCCCAAAATTCACTAGATATTTATTCTCTTCTCAGTTTCATCCCTACAAGTCTCATCTTGAGCACTGCTTTCCATATGGAAAAACTCTTATACACAAATTTTTGAGGAATGAGACACATGTGCAACATGTTGCACATGTGTCTCATTCCTCAACTTGTCAGTTTTCTAAACCATAATATCACACAATTTTTTTTATATAAGAATGCTATTCATTTCATCAATTTCCTGACCTTACTACAAAACTTGAATTCTTAACCTCTGTATCAGAGATGCAGGAGAGGTTATATTTTCATGGTTCTTGTCTGTCAAGAACCTGCTGCTTCTATACTTCCTCTTTGTGTATAGCCACATAATAGTATCATCCCACAAATAGGTTGTGTATGTTTTTATTCTTAGAATAAAGCACTGTGCCGTCTTATTTTTCCATTCCACAGTCATGTGGAACAAACCACCGCCCTGTGTCTTTCCTGACATCTTCAAACTCCATTCCGTCAAGAGGTGTATGGAGATATCTTTTGGTAAATAGCCAACATTCTTATTTTATTTTTATCTGGATCTGCACTGTTGAGTGGACAGTTTTGCCTTTGATGTAGTCTACTTCAGTACGTACAAGCAAATGCACTTTCATATCTTCCCCTATAAATTGTTTATACAGACCATGATCTGCAATCATTTTCTCAGCAACACCTTTTGTAACTCATTTTTCAGTAACTAACCAAGGACAGTCATCTTGTGCATGTTCTAAACTCTCGTTTTACTTCTTCATTTGTTTTCATTCTTTTCTCAGGTATATACACCACACAGTCATGCATTTAATTACATATTATTTCATGTTTATGCTTCATATGACATGCATATAATAGTTCCCTATTATTTCTTGTTTATTATTTCAGATGACATTCATCAACACACTCACATCATCACCACTGTAAAACTTCTCACTGTCATCGCTCCCAGAAATCCATTTACAGTTGCTTACTCCCTTCTGTACTTGCTCCCTTATATCTTCCTCCATTGGTCTGTAAACAATACTAAATAAAAATCTTTGAATGGCTTGATCTTTTCCATTACCATTTATTTTTAGTCAGACATTGTATAATCTTTTTCTTGTAAAGTAGAGGAAATTCATCACTATCTTGTTCACATAAATGGGTCAGGAAAACAATAAGTTTAATGTTGTGAGTGTTTAAATTATCTTTATTCTATTGCATATGTTGCAGAGCTCATTTTTGCCACTTTTTTTTATAACTTTGTCGCTTTCTGCCATCAATAATATTTACACTCATTCAATAACTTAAATATATTCTTGACTAAGAGAGGTGATTTTATGTGTAACTTATATAAGAATTCTATTTTTACTTGATCAAGATGTCTTCTATATATTTAAGAGTTATTTTGAAAATATATCTATTACAATACATAAAAATAACTTCTGGTGAAATATTAAACGCATTAGACAAAAAGGGTGCTAGGAGTAGCATTGGTATGAGATTGTTATTGAAAGATCATGTATAGGAAATCATGAGAAACTTACCATATATATTACACTTGTCGGAGTATACAATTGCCTTTAGATATATGGGTAGAGATATGTTTAAAACAAAAAGCTGTCTACAACATATGTTAGGCCAAAACTGAAATATGCTGCAGTGGGGTGGTGCAGCACTAAAAATACATGTGGACAAGCAGCATGGGTAGGAGCCTGTAAATTTTTGAATTACATGAATTTTTGGCTAATTGGTCTTTGCATAAATAAGGCTGAGTTGTAGGAGGTATTAAAGGTAAATTTATTGCAGTGTATTGGAGATGTTTGTTTGAAAGAACAATATGAACCTTAAGATGAAAGCTGCTATTCTTAACAGTATCTTCTTTCATGATGTTCCTAATTTGTGTAGTATAAATGACTTAGCAAGAGGAAAATGTTTTAAAAAATGGTTCATTTAAAAATTTGTTTCCAGATAAAGCCTCCCAAAAAATATACATAGATTCAGATTGAATTTAGATCCTGAAAAAGGATTTAGAGAAACCAGTAAATACAGCAACAAATGAAAATGTTTGAATATAGAAGTCATGATGAATACATGTACTGTTATATGCAGACTCTGATCAATTTTTTTGGAACACAAAAATAAGATAAATATTATCCAAAAATTTACTTAGCTTTATAAAGATAAGTCAGTAGTTTATTCCTTATATTGAAAATCCCATAATTGTGCAAAGCACAATGATAAGGATCTTTAGTGGATTTCATACAGCATTTTGTCACCAGAAAACCACATAGGTAAAAGTGAGATAAAGTTAAATTGATATTCGATGGGATACCGAGCAACGCTCTCCCATAACTCTAGGTATATATTACACACACACACACACACACACACACACACACACACACACACACACGTATTTATGTATGTATGTGCATGTGTGAGTATGTATTCATTTCTCACAATCCAAAGTGCTCCAGACAGGGCTAAAACCTCTTATTAGGTATGATACCAGGTATGTTCCACAATGTCTTGGCCACTCCACTCCACTGAACAAGTACCAAATTGCATTTCTACTTCCCTCTCAATCCTCCTCCCGGGGAGGATGTTGGGTTAATGCCCTGTAACAGGGTGGTGGTAGCCAAGATGTTTGGTATTCTGCTTGCTATTATACCTAACAGTTGTGAGTCCTGGCAGAGCTCTTGAAGTTGAAAGACATTTTTTGTATTTCAAGTATCAGTCAATTTTACTCAGCTATGGATACATGTGTACAAAACATTGTGAAGCAGAAAAGAATGAGAACCACATTTGAACAATGGAGAAACACTCAGGCATGAAGGAGATTGGAGGTTTGAAGCTCGAGTTGCCATATTTCATTTTGGGGCTCTGAGCCTAACTTAGATGCTGAAGACAATATCTACACATTACCACAAATAGATGAAACATCAAGAAACCGATTCATTAACTTACCTGGCTATGGTGACACTTATTCTTTTCTGCTGTGCATTACCTCATACATTAAATAGTACAAGACTATACCAACTTACTTATTGTTTTTGGTTGATACAGCTAGAGGAACGAAAGGGTAATATAGAATTCCACGTCATTGGTAACTCCCTCACCCAGAAGGTTTCCAAACAGACAATGCTGTGGTTGATTGGTCTTCAGAATGTATTTTCTCATCAGCTTCCACGAATGCCCAAAGACTATATAACACGACTTGTATTTGATCCGTGAGTATGCATTCTTTATGTGAAAGCTACTGCATTTCAGTATTACGTGTACAGTACGTGCCTTTCATATGTACAGTGCAGTGATTCAGTAGTAATCCCAAAACATATTGCTGAATAATTACTTACACTAAATGGCCCCCCAATAATGAAAAAAGTTCTCAATTCTTTTTTTATATTTGATTGTTTATGTAAGAAGTAATTTGTCAGTCTTGCAGTAGCATATAGTGTCTATAAAAGAATGTTATATGGAGTTTCTCACCGTAACAAGTCACTTTACGATCAACAGTTAGATTAGAAGCCATTTTAAGATTAAATTTATGATTCTTAATTTGCAGTTCTTGTTTTACAAAATATACAATAATCAAAAAGTCCATAGGACACATGGCATTTGTCTGCAAAGTTGAAACATATTTATGAATTCCCACTTGGGAAATGTATTAAGTTTTTTTCTTACATTTTTCCACATGGTAACCTGAGAACTTCCCTTTGTATTGACTTTAATCTTTAAATCCCTGTGTATTTTAGAAACCAATATGACTATTTAATTTCAATAAGAAAAGTTATTTCAGATTTTACTTCCTATATATTCTAGTAAAAAGGAATTAATTTAATGTTATTTGATTATTTAAAAAGTAAATCAAATTTGTTTCAGGAAACATTGTACATTGGCATTAATCAAGGAGAATCGGCCGATTGGAGGTATATGCTTCCGGATGTTTGCTGCCCAGGGATTTACAGAAATTGTTTTCTGTGCAGTTACATCCAATGAGCAAGTGAAAGGTTATGGTACCCACATGATGAATCACTTGAAAGATTATCATGTCAAGAATAATGTGCTTCACTTTCTCACCTTTGCTGATGAGTTTGCCATAGGTAAAGCTAATAAAATATAGTCCATGAACTGTAGTGTTGGCACCCCTCTGGCAAGACAATGATGGAGTGAATGATAGTGAAAGTGTTTCTTCTTCTTTGGGTTTCCCCTACTTCAGTGGGAGATGGCTGGTTTGTTGATAAAAAATTATTGTTCTTAGCATGATGATGTTCTCGTCTCAAATTTATAGGGTGACTGGTACTTCTGGAGAAAAACTTTTGTTTTTCTTTTAAGGTCACCCTGCCTTGGTATATGTATGTAATAACTAAACTGTTATAATTTTATTATTATTTATTATCACACTGGCCGATTCCCACCAAGGCAGGGTGGCCCGAAAAAGAAAAACTTTCACCATCATTCACTCCATCACTGTCTTGCCAGAAGGGTGCTTTACACTACAGTTTTTAAACTGCAACATTAACACCCCTCCTTCAGAGTGCAGGCACTGTACTTCCCATCTCCAGGACTCAAGTCCGGCCTGCCGGTTTCCCTGAACCCCTTCATAAATGTTACTTTGCTCACACTCCAACAGCACATCAAGTATTAAAAACCATTTGTCTCCATTCACTCCTATCAAACATGCTCACGCATGCCTGCTGGAAGTCCAAGCCCCTCGCACACAAAACCTCCTTTACCCCCTCTCTCCAACCTTTCCTAGGCCGACCCCTACCCCGCCTTCCTTCCACTACAGGAAGGCGGGGTAGGAAGGGTTGGACTGGTAAGCCAGCAGAAAGCCTTGGTCAGATGACCAAAAGTCCAGAGGCAGGTCATCATATAAGACCTGCATCAGGAAACACTTGTCCTGTTTCCTAACACACTTTACCTAACCTAACCTAACACACTTTACCTAACCTAACCTAACCTGCCTCAGTGGGAGACGGCCGGTGCATTGAAAAAATAAAAGTAAATTAATTAAAGTGTTTTCTATTCACACAGCTTCACTCTGAGCCTTGATGCCCTGGCTAGGATTGTATTCATTTGTTTAAAAGCTAGAGCAGTGAAGAAGTAAGGTAAATGAGGCATTCATAGTGCTAAAAAAAATGTGAAAACAGTATTGGAGTGCTTTTTTACATAGGTTTAAATGTTTTGTAATGGGAAGGATTTTAGGCCAGTTAGCCTCTTGCCATAGGAAAATACAGTAAATACATTTTATTTGACTAATGTTGAAATATTTATTTCATAAAAAAATCCTGTTATTGCATGTTTTATTTAGAATAATGTCATATTAATAAGTATTCTTCCTCAGGGTACTTCAAGAAACAAGGGTTTAGCAAGGATATCCAACTGTCACGCTCTGTCTACCAAGGTTACATCAAAGATTATGAGGGAGCAACACTTATGGGCTGTGAATTGAATCCAAACATTGTCTACACTGAGTTTACTGCTGTAATCAGAAGGCAGAAGGAGGTAAGATACTGAAATCTGCATCACTGCCAGTAAGTTTTTGCAATGCATATGGTAAAAGAAGAATATAAAAGAAGAGCAGAATATATGGAGAGTAAAAGAAAGGTAAAGAGAGTGGTGAGAGAGTGCAAAAGGAGAGCAGATGATAGAGTGGGAGAGGCACTGTCAAGAAATTTTAATGAAAATAAGAAAAAATTTTGGAGTGAGTTAAACAAGTTAAGAAAGCCAAGGGAAAATATGGATTTGTCAGTTAAAAACAGAGTAGGGGAGTTAGTAGATGGGGAGATGGAGGTATTAGGTAGATGGCGAGAATATTTTGAGGAACTTTTAAATGTTAAGGAAGAAACAGAGGCAGTAATTTCATGCACTGGTCAGGGAGGTATACCATCTTTTAGGAGTGAAGAAGAGCAGAATGTAAGTGTGGGGGAGGTACGTGAGGCATTACGTAAAATGAAAGGGGGTAAAGCAGCTGGTACTGATGGGATCATGACAGAAATGTTAAAAGCAGGGGGGGATATAGTGTTGGAGTGGTTGGTACTTTTGTTCAATAAATGTATGAAAGAGGGGAAGGTACCTAGGGATTGGCGGAGAGCATGTATAGTCCCTTTATATAAAGGGAAAGGGGACAAAAGAGACTGTAAAAATTATAGAGGAATAAGCTTACTGAGTATACCAGGAAAAGTGTACGGTAGGGTTATAATTGAAAGAATTAGAGGTAAGACAGAATGTAGGATTGCGGATGAGCAAGGGAGTTTCAGAGTGGGTAGGGATGTGTAGATCAAGTGTTTACATTGAAGCATATATGTGAACAGTATTTAGATAAAGGTAGGGAAGTTTTTATTGCATTTATGGATTTAGAAAAGGCATATGATAGAGTGGATAGAGGAGCAATGTGGCAGATGTTGCAAGTATATGGAATAGGTGGTAAGTTATTAAATGCTGTAAAGAGTTTTTATGAAGATAGTGAGGCTCAGGTTAGGGTGTGTAGAAGAGAGGGAGACTATTTCCGGTAAAAGTAGGTCTTAGACAGGGATGTGTGATGTCACATGGTTGTTTAATATATTTATAGATGGGGTTGTTAAGGAAGTAAATGCTAGGGTGTTTGGGAGAGGGGTGGGATTAAATTATGGGGAATCAAATTCAAAATGGGAATTGACACAGTTACTTTTTGCTGATGATACTGTGCTTATGGGAGATTCTAAAGAAAAATTGCAAAGGTTAGTGGATGAGTTTGGGAATGTGTGTAAAGGTAGAAAGTTGAAAGTGAACATAGAAAAGAGTAAGGTGATGAGGGTGTCAAATGATTTAGATAAAGAAAAATTGGATATCAAATTGGGGAGGAGGGGTATGGAAGAAGTGAATGTTTTCAGATACTTGGGAGTTGACGTGTCGGCGGATGGATTTATGAAGGATGAGGTTAATCATAGAATTGATGAGGGAAAAAAGGTGAGTGGTGCGTTGAGGTATATGTGGAGTCAAAAAACGTTATCTATGGAGGCAAAGAAGGGAATGTATGAAAGTATAGTAGTACCAACACTCTTATATGGGTGTGAAGCTTGGGTGGTAAATGCAGCAGCGAGGAGACGGTTGGAGGCAGTGGAGATGTCCTGTTTAAGGGCAATGTGTGGTGTAAATATTATGCAGAAAATTCGGAGTGTGGAAATTAGGAGAAGGTGTGGAGTTAATAAAAGTATTAGTCAGAGGGCAGAAGAGGGGTTGTTGAGGTGGTTTGGTCATTTAGAGAGAATGGATCAAAGTAGAATGACATGGAAAGCATATAAATCTATAGGGGAAGGAAGGCGGGGTAGGGGTCGTCCTCGAAAGGGTTGGAGAGAGGGGGTAAAGGAGGTTTTGTGGGTAAGGGGCTTGGACTTCCAGCAAGCGTGCGTGAGCGTGTTAGATAGGAGTGAATGGAGACGAATGGTACTTGGGACCTGACGATCTGTTGGAGTGTGAGCAGGGTAATATTTAGTGAAGGGATTCAGGGAAACCGGTTATTTTCATATAGTCGGACTTGAGTCCTGGAAATGGGAAGTACAATGCCTGCACTTTAAAGGAGGGGTTTGGGATATTGGCAGTTTGGAGGGATATGTTGTGTATCTTTATATGTGTATGCTTCTAGACTGTTGTATTCTGAGCACCTCTGCAAAAACAGTGATAATGTGCAAGTGTGGTGAAAGTGTTGAATGATGATGAAAGTATTTTCTTTTTGGGGATTTTCTTTCTTTTTTGGGTCACCCTGCCTCGGTGGGAGACGGCCGACTTGTTGAAAAAAAAAAAAAAAAAAAAAAAAAAAAATGGTAAAAGGCTGAAAAATGTACTGTCAGTTGACCAATAAGAACCCCACTATATATGATACAAATTTGAAAACAGCATTTCTCAAGCAGTACTGGTAAGTACTTCGGTACTTGTGTTAGGTAATGGCCACCTGTTTCATTGAATCAGAAAGTGCTGCAGTGCTATAAATATGAAAAATATAGTAAATAAAGAACATGAGTTATCTATCTGTACCTCATATATTTCAGGAGCTCCTCACTATGTAGTTTGTTGTGAAAAAGAATTCTTAAGTAAATCTCATTTAACCCTTAAACTGGACTGAATGTGTGTATACATATTACTGTGTGGGCAAATGGGAGCAATTTAAATCATAAAAGGTTCAAGTGAAGTGCCTAAAATTTTTTCCATCTGAAAAAATCTTTGCATCCTTTATACCACAGCAGAGAAAATGATATGTACAGGTGTACCATGTTTTAAGCTAGCCCCATTGAATTGAAGAAATCATCTCTATACATCAGCTTGGATACTGAGGCTGGAAGATCAGAGGCAATTTAATAGTTATGCCAAAAATTTTAAAACCTAGATGATATCTTTGTGAACCATCCTCAGTCTGAGATTCAAACATAAGAGTATGATGATTGAGTGTGAAATTGGAAGTATCAATATTACAGCAAGTAGAGAATAAAAATAGGTCTTTAATGAACGCATAATGCCTGGAGGCAGTGGAAATGTCCTGTTTAAATGCAATGTGTGGTGTAAATATTATGCAGAAAATTCGGAGTGTGGAAATTAGGTAAAGGTGTGGAGTTAATAAAAGTATTAGTCAGAGGGCAGAAGAGGGATTGTTGAGGTAGTTTGGTCATTTAGAGAGAATGGATCAAAGTAGAATGACATGGAAAGCATATAAATCTATAGGGGAAGGAAGGCGGGGTAGGGGTCGTCCTTGAAAGGGTTGGAGAGAGGGGGTAAAGGAGGTTTTGTGGGCAAGGGGCTTGGACTTCCAGCAAGCGTGCGTGAGTGTGTTAGATATGAGTGAATGGAGACGAATGGTACTTGGGACCTGACGATCTGTTGGAGTGTGAGCAGGGTAATATTTAGTGAAGGGATTCAGGGAAACTGGTTATTTTCATATAGTCGGACTTGAGTCCTGGAAATGGGAAGTACAATGCCTGCACTTTAAAGGAGGGGTTTGGGATATTGGCAGTTTGGAGGGATATGTTGTGTATTTTTATATGTACAGTGGTCCCTCAATAATCGTCCGGCCTGAAAGTCGTCCATTTCGGAAATAGTCCTGTTTTTTCGTCAAAATTTTGGCTCTCAAATGGTCCGGTAACTCGCTAATAGTCCTTCGTCCCGGACGCGTACTCACGCTCTGAGCCGCCTCGGCCTTTCCTTCCCAGCCAGTGTGCCATTGTTTACCAGTGAGTGACGGTCCCCTCACATGCTCCTACGAAATATTTCATAATATTCCATTGATTTTAGTGCTTGCAAGTGCTAAATAAGCTACCATGGCTCCAAATAAAGCTTCTAGTGCCAGCCTTTTGGTAAAGAATGTGAGAAACACATAATTTATGAAAAAGTTTGTAGAAAAATACAGAGATGGTGGTGGTAGATGGAAGCAGTTGTGATAGTGGTTGATGAACATAAAGAGGAGATCACTGCTGCAGGCCTGTTGGCCCATGCTTGGCAGGTCCTTTACAATCATCCCACTAACGAAACATTTTCCCCCCCAATCCTCAATGCTACCCAAGAAATAAGCTCTGATAACTCTATCCACTCATTTGCAAGTCCTGAATGAGTGGATAGAGTTATCAGAGCTTATTTCTTGGGTAGCATTGAGGACTGGGTTGGGAAAATGTTTCGTTAGTGGGATGAATTGTAAAGGACCTGCCGAGCATGGGCCTGCTGCAGTGATCCTCCTTTCTTATGTTCTAATGTTCATCAACCACTATCACAACTGCTTCCACTCTACCACCACCATCTTTGTATTTTTCTACAAACTTTTTTATAAATTATGTGTTTCTCACATTCTTTACCAAAGGGCTGGCACTAGAAGCTTTTTTTGGTGGTAGTGATGGTGGTAGAAGGTAGTAGTGATGGTGGTAACAGTTGTAATAGTTGTAGAAGGTCGTAGTGATGGTAGGGGGTTCCTTCTTTAGTGATTCAGTGATTCTGCCAACTCCTCCAATGTTGTTGGAGTTATATAGGGCTACAAAAACCACCGCCGACCCAGCTGCTGCTTCACCACCATTATGGACAGCTTACACTCAGTGGCCCTTATATACCCAACAACAACACAACTTGTCGGTTTTTCAAACCATTCATCACAACAACACAACACAACACCTCTCGTGACATACGTAATGACTTACTTTATTCATTCTAGAGTATATTCCATGTTTCTATGTTATTAATATTGTTTATTATGTCATATTAGTTGAATTGTGATAGATAAATAAGCCATAGAGTTGATATTAGTGTCATATTCTCCAACAATAAACTTGCCATCCCTCCCTCACACAAACAAATAGCCAATAAGAACATAACAATGGAAGAACACTGCAGGTCTACTGGCCCATACAAGGCAAGTCCTTATCAAAATGACCTCCACCCAAAGCTACATAAGAACATAAGAATGGAGGAACACTGCAGAAGGCCTACTGGCCCATGCGAGGCAGGTCCCCATCAAAACGACTACCACCCAAAGCTTCCCAAGAAACAACTCCCGCACCCAATGACACCAATCAAACCCAGCCCCTCCCACTCATGCGACGTTTAGCGCTATAGAGGAGTGTAGAACAAATTGAAGCGAAAAACTGAAGCAACAGGATGGAGCCTTATATACCGCCAGGAGGTGAGATGTAGGCCACTAGTAGAGGTAAGAATGTAGTCGTTGGGAAGTCAGTTCCTTCTCAAATCCAGCCATTCTCACTAGGCGATTTAAGTTGGATAAATTTAGATTTAGAAAGGACATAGGTAAGTACTGATTTTCTAACAGTTGTAGATGCGTGGAACAGTCTTCCCAGTTGGGTGATAGAGGCTAGGACCCTGGGCAGCTTCAAGAAGAGACTGGACAAATATATGAGTGGGAGGGGCTGGGTTTGATTGGTGTCATTGGGCACGGGAGCCATCTCTTGGGTAGCCCCAGGCAGAGGTCGCCTTGATAAGAATTTACTCCCGTACCCAATGACACAAATCAAACTCAGCTCCTCCAACTCGTATATTTGTCCAATCTCTTCTTAAAGCTACCCAAGGTCCTAGCCTCTATCACGCTACTGGTAAGTGTGATGTTAAATAAGAACTTAAGAAAGTAGGAACACTTCAACAGGCCTGCTGCCCCATACTAGGCCGGTCCTTCACAAATCCAACCCACTAACAGAACAAATGCTACCCAAGCAATAAGCTCAGGTGCAAGTCCGACTCAAATCCAACCCCTTTCACTCGTGTATTTATCCAACCTAAATTTGAAACTACCAAAGCACATAGCTTTTTAGGCATTGGAAAGGAGGAACACTGCAATAAGCTGTTGGCCCATATTAGGCCGGTCCTTCACAAATCCAACCCACTAACAGAACAAATGCTACCCAAGCAATAAGCTCAGGGCAAGTCCGACTCAAATCCAACCCTCTCACTCGTGTATTTATCCAACCTAAAATTTGAAAACTACCCAATGTTTTAGCTTCGATCACCCTACTAGCAGACCATTCCACTCATCAACTACCCTATTACCAATGTTCATTTATACATTTTATTAGTGCCCTAGAGTCCTTATGGAGGGGGATTCCCCTTCCAAATAACCTCTCTTCCCTCTCTCCTCCTCCCTGTCTTCCATTCATCAACAACAGCCTTCAATAAAGGTAACTATCATGTTGAATGTTCATTCTTTTGTGCATGTAAATCTATCTTTTAGGTAAAAAAAAATTTTTTGTTGATACTTCTGGGTGTCTGGAACGAATTAATTGGATTTACATTATTTCTTATGGGGAAAATTGATTCGAAAATCTTCCATTTCGATAATAGTCCCACTTCCAGGAACGGATTATGGACGATTATTGAGGGACCACTGTACATGTATATGCTTCTAAACTGTTGTATTCTGAGCACCTCTGCAAAAACAGTGATAATGTGTGAGTGTGGTAAAAGTGTTGAATGATGAAAGTATTTTCTTTTTGGGGATTTTCTTTCTTTTTTGGGTCACCCTGCCTGGGTGGGAGATGGCCGACTTATTGAAAAAAAAAAATAAGTATTTCTCAGTACAGTACTTAAAATCAATTGAGAATATTGTAAATGCATATTTCCTTCAGGGAAGGGAGATACTTTAATGCTGATGAAGGGCTGTTGAGCCAGGTAATTGAAGCTACCCTTCCCTTCCTTGGACCAAATCTGATTACTTCCCATTCCCAGGGCACTGCATGATGCCTGCAATTTTAGTGTTTCCACAAATACAAAAAATTAATTATGTGCATGCTATCAAGGCTTATTGATGATATTTATAATCTTTGTAACTATTATAATAATTTCCTTACAGATCATTAAAAAACTGATAGAGAGGAAACAGAGTGAAATTCGTAAGGTGCATCCGGGGCTGACTTGCTTCAGAGATGGGGTGAGAGAAATTCCCATTGAAAGTATCCCAGGAATTCGAGAAGCAGGCTGGAAGGGCCCAGCAACTCCCTCCCGTTCCTCCAGATCTCCTACCCATGAGCAGCAGCAGGACCCTGAATGTTTACACAGCATGCTTAAGACACTTCTCTGCAATGTTGGTATTGTGCTTAAAAGTTTCAACCATTATTTGTTTCAGAGCAAGATGAGGTATTCTCACAGTACTAATTTAGGAGGCAATATTTAAACTAAGGAATTCATTTGTGGTAAATATTTTAAATACTTTAAATAAAAATATAATGGAACATTTGTTGCAGGATTCTCCATATTGTTAATTGGGAAATCTATGAGGTAAAGGAACTGTATAACCTTGTGTGTTTAACTCTTTCCCACGAAATCTGGTGTCTTAGGTTAATATGTAGTGTGAATATTGTGAAGAGAATTCATAGTTCGGAGATTAGGAGGAGGTGTGGGGTTACTAAAAGTATTATCCAGAGGGCTAAAAGAGGTTAATGAGATGGTTTGGACATTTTATTAAAGAGGATGGAGCTAAATAACTTGATTTGGTTGGTGTATAAATCTGTCGCAGATGTAGGGGTTGTCCTAGGAAAGGATGGGGGGAGAGGGTAAAGGAGAATAACAAAAAACAAGGCACAATACCGTGACTGGGGCAATACACAGATAACCTGCATATAGAAGAGAGGAGCTTATGACGATGTTTCGGTCAGACTTGGACTGGACTGAAATGTCATTGTAAGCTCCTCTCTCCTATGTGCGGGTTATTTGTGGATAAAGGAGGTTTTGTATGTGAAGAGCTTGGGCATCCAGCAAGCTTATCTGAGCATGTTAGATAGGAATGAGTGGAGGCAAGTGGTCTTTATGACCTAGACGTGCTGTTGGAATATGAGCAAGGTATCATGAATGAAGGGATTCAGGGAAGCCAATTGGCCGCACTTGAGTTCTGGAGGTGGAAAGTATAATGCCTGAACTTTGGAGAAGGGTGGGGATATTGCAGTTTGGAGGGGCATCTGATCTGTAGTATCATCATGCTTCTGGCAGGATGGTGATGGCATGAGTGATGGTGAAAGCATTTTTTCTTTTTATTGGGTCACCCTACCTTGGTGAGAAATGGCTGGTGTGTTAAAAACAAAAATAATAATATAAAAATGTAAATGTATAATCAGGTAAAAGAGCAGATAGAATGAAGAAATAAAAATTGAAAAATTTTGTATGTGCTGGCATTTATAAATGGTATTCACAAAGACCTACATTGGAAATTTAGTACATACATGTACTGTCAACTCTCCAGATTCATGGTCCCATGAAATTGGAAACTATGAATAATACAGAACTAGTTTGTCCAAATTTTTCTTAGATTTGTATTCATTTTATATTGCTTTTACATATCACCCTAATATGGTTAATATTGAGAGTATGGAGGAGGTGAATGTATTCAGATATTTAGGAGTGGACATGTCAGCAGATGGGTCTATGAAAGATGAGGTGAATCATAGAATTGATGAGGGGAAAAAGGTGAGTGGTGCATTGAGGAGTCTGTGGAGGCAAAGAACTTTGTCCATGAAAGCAAAGAGACCAACACTCTTATATGGGTGCAAAGCATGGGTGATGAATGTTGCAACAAGGAGAAGGCTGGGGGCAGTAGAGATGTTGTGTCTGAGGGCAATGTGTAGTGTGAATATAATGCAGAGAATTCGTAGTTTGGAAATTAGGAGGGGCTGAGGAGGGATTGTTGAGGTGGTTCGGACATGTAGAGAGGATGAAACAAAATGGAATGACTTTGAGAGTACAGTGGACCCCCGCATAACGATCACCTCCGAATGCGACCAATTATGTAAGTGTATTTATGTAAGTGCGTTTGTACGTGTATGTTTGGGGGTCTGAAATGGACTAATCTACTTCACAATATTCCTTATGGGAACAAATTCGGTCAGTACTGGCACCTGAACATACTTCTGGAGTGAAAAAATATCGTTAACCGGGGGTCCACTGTATATATCTATAGTGGAGGGAAGACAGGGTAGAGGTCAGCCTAGGAAAGGTTGGAGGGAGGGGGTAAAGGAGGTTTTGTGTGTGAAGGGCTTGGACTTCCAGCAAGCATGTGTGAGCATGTTAGACAGGAGCGAATGGAGACAAATGGTTTTTAGGACTTGGCGTGCTGTTGGAGTGTGAGCAGTTTAATATTTATGATGGGATTCAGGGAAACCGGAAGTACGGTGCCTGCACTCTGAAGGAGGGGCGTTAATGTTGCAGTTTTATATCAGTAGTGTAATCGCTCCTCTGGCAAGACAGTGATGGAGTGAATGATGGTGAAAGTTTTTCTTTTTCAGGCCACCCTGCCTTGGTGGAAGGCAGCCGGTGTGTTAAAAAAAAATAAATAAAAAAATCGACATCATAAGAAATACTGACCAAAATAAATGAGATTTGGGCATGGGAAAGCTATTGATCCAGAAAAATTGAATAATTGAATTTATTTGCTGATTACCCACCAATAAAAATGTTGAATAATCTAAATCTGCAAATAAGGAAGCCCATAAATTTGGAGGGATGATTGTATGCTAAAGAAAGTTGGACTTTGGAGCAGGATGGAGATAAGACCAGACATGGAAAAGCTTTAAGCTAATTGGTAATTATAAAAGAAATGAACTTATACCATGCATTAAGTTTAAAGTATCAGACATTTGCATGGATGCAGTAATCCATTGTATAAAGATTATAAAATGTGCAGTAAATTGCAGAAAATAAGTCTATTAAAAAAGGTAAGTTTTATAGTGAAACAACAGGAGATAATTTTAAGATAATAAGCAACTTGGAAAGTCTTACTAAGGTGTGAGTTTGCATTCATTTCAGCACATTGATGATAATGTGTTTATATAATGCGTAGGTAAAACAGAAGGCATACTTCATGTTTATAGTTTTAGAAAACTGAGTAGAAAGGAGGCTGATAGAAGTAGAGGATTTTTGTGGAATGAAGAATGTGTTGAAACTATAAGAGGCATGAATTAACTTAATCTTTGGAGTTAGACGAAAATGTATCATGCTTTCACGGCTGTCTGGCATAAAAACTTTAGTGTTTAAAGTTAATAAAGAGTATATGATGTGACTATTTCTATAAATTGACATATTTTTTTTTTTTTTTTTTTTGCAAAATACTAGAATGGGAATATATTGTAAATGAATTTGGAAGAGTAGGAATGAGGAAGATATTGAAGATATGCTCCAAACCAGGAAAAGTAGCTTTTGTAAAGGAGTTATAGTGTGGGACACCATTGAAAGAAGTGGATTTAAGGATGGTCCATATGTTGCATGTTTTTAAGGAACTTGATTGAGGATAAGCTTGTAGTTGCTAAAATATCTAAAAGATATGTAAAAGAATGAGCTCTGGGGGCTATGAAGAATCCACTGAAGAGTACTGCTAGAAGATTACAAGTTGGTTGAATATTTTAGAAGACTGCTATACTTTGATGTGTGGCAGTGAAATATGGTTGTGTAATACTAGATTAACAGTGAAAATGCATCCATTGTAGGTGAATTTCTTTATGGTAGGGTTATAGTACATCAGTTGACAGTGCAAGCACTACAGTGGAAATAGGAGGCAGTGGGATACACCTTTTCAAAAAAGTTTCTCTTTTATCTTTCACTTCTTGTGTTCGTCCACCTCCATGTTCACCATTCGTTGAATACTGCTGCTGCTGTTCATCAGTTTTTGCTTTTAATAATTTCTTTTGCACCTCTGGCTAAAGCTGTTAATTTTTATGTTTTTTTCATATTGTACAGTGTGCACTTCCTAAGGCAATTTACTGTTTTTCCCACATTTTTCTTTATCATTGCAAACTACTCCAGTCACTACACTTGATAGTGTGAGCAACAAAGGGAATTCTTAGCAGAGGATTCAGGTACTACTTAGAGGTCTGTAGCTCTTAGATGCTTATGGATTAGTGGCACAAGTTATTCATGAAGTTACCCCTTAACACAAAGCAACCTCCCAGAGACATACCTGTGAATAGTTAAGAATGTTTTTATACACTTAGAGCTCAACCTGAAGCCAGACGATCCCCATTGATTGCTTGATTAATCAGTCTGCTGCTGCTAGAAGCCTGCAGGCTTACAAGACCATTACAACCTGGTTGGCACATTTTGCAGAAAATGGTTCAGAGATCATAAAGTCTCATTATATAGGTAGAATGTGATTGGGATGTGTGTGTAAAGGAGGTTTTGTGGGCGAGGGGCTTGGACTTCCAGCAAGTGTGCGTGAGCGTGTTAGATAGGAGTGAATGGAGACGAATAGTATTTGGGACCTGACGAGCTGTTGGAGTGTGAGCAGGGAAATATTTAGTGGAGGAGTTCAGGGAAACCAGTTTTTTTTATATAGCCAACTTGGTCCTGAAATGGGAATACAATGCTGCATTTTAAAGGGGGGGTTTTTGGGGATATTGACATTTGGGGAGGGATTTTTGTATCTTTAATTTAAAAGCTTCTAACTGCTGTTTTCTGGGCCCCTCAAAAACGTGATTATGTGTAGGGAAATTTGGAATGATGATAAAGTTTTTTCTTTTTGGGGATTTTTTTTTCTTTTTGGTCACCCTCCTGGGTAGAGATGGCCGACTTGTTTAAAAGAAAAAGAAAAAAATACATTGTAATATATTATTATAATGCAATGGTGTGGTGATGGGGAATATTATTAATATATAATATAATATCATATATATATAATATAATACTATAATTATTATATATTAGTTTTATATTAATGGACATATAAAATTATATTTTATAATTATAATATATAGTATATATAAACTAAATAATATTAATATAAGAATTTATAATAATTATATATTTTAAATTTAGTCTAATATACGTATATATATATATTTATTAATAGTTATTAAATATATAAATATATATAAATATAAATAGATAATATATACAAAATTATATAAAATATAAAGTCACCGAATACAAACGGTCAATTGAAGTTGATTAAATTATCCTGTTCTAGAATTTCTCTTAACGTTAAAGATTTTTTTTCTAATGTTAAGAAAAAAATTTAATTTGACAAAGAATCTAGAAAAGTTAAACCTTATTATAAAGAACAATTTAGTTGAGCCTAACCAAATCAATGTTGGATTTTTTACA